TTTTAACTAAAAATATGTTGATTTTAGATTTTATCATCCCCACTCATATTATAAAATAAAAAATCACCATATTTTCTGTAAATTTTAACGGATAAAACAGAACATATTTATTATGTAAAATTAAAAATAGATGCACATTGTGTTATTTTTACATCTTTCCCAGTCGTTTTCACAATTTTAAAGTTCAACTAACACACATCAGCAATATGTTACTTAACACAAAAATGTTCACGGGGACCGTTTTAACAAAAATGCAGAAATTTCCGTAACACGAAAATGATGACTCTTAAAATGCATTCACCAAGTCGCGCGAGGAACCTAACCTGTATCAACCACAAGGAAGGCAAGATCGACGCGCATGGCGCCGAGAGACGCGAGTCTAGTCTAGTCTAGGCTAGGCCAAGCTAGGCTAGGCTAGGAATAGGAGCGACACGACGCGGCCCGGAAGGCGGGCGCGGTTTCGAAGCGATCGAATAATCCTGGACGACAAGAAGAGAGAATAATAATAATAAAAATAAAAATAATAATAATAATAATAATAATAATAATGATGATGATGATGATGACAGTACCATGTCTCCCACGGCTCCCGTGAGATCCTTCATGTCGAGCGAGGGGTAGAGAAAGAGGTCCCCCGGCGGTTTCATCCAGTCGCCTGTGCTCGCGCCCGCACCCTGGCCGTAACCGATTCCGAAACTCTCCACTGTCTCCAAGGTCGCGGCGGCGACGGCGACGACGGCGGCGTCGTCGGCGCGGTGCGTCACCTCCGAGAGATTCACCGTTAACCCCGTGGTAGTACACTAGCCGGCACAGCACGCGGGTCGAAGAAAATCCTCGTGGATGACACTTCCCACCACTTCCACGAGCACACCTCTTCGCCGACAGCCGGCGATCGGTGGGTGTGAAAGGGAGAAAAACCCGACGAGGACGACGTCGATGTCGGCCGGATCCCGAGCGAGGCGCCGTTTGACAGCTCGCGCGACGCCGTTTGACAGCTCGCGCGCCGATGACAGATGATCGACGCGACGCGGCGCGACCCTCCCCCCTCCCCGCCCGCTCTTTTTCGGAAGGACGCCGGCCAAACAACGCGAGAGTCGCGGTTTTACAGTGTCACCACTACACACATCACGACTCCATCACTCGACACTGAAGGAAGAGAGAGAAAAAGCGTTGGCCTGCTGTCAAACTTTCCTCTCTCTCTCTCTCTCTCTCTCTCTTTCTCTTTCTCTCTCTGTCGCACTCGCACACTTTGCACACTCACTATGTACTCGCGCGAAGTTGGCTACTTATATTTACAACGAGGGAGGGAGGAGACGGCGAGTTGTTTCTCGCGGCAAAGGCGAGGGATTAGATATCCCGTGAATAAACGCGTCGTCGTCCGGAGGCCGCCCGGGATAAAAGGCGTCTCTTTCCTGCTAATTCTCTCTCTGTTCTCCGTTTCCGTCTTCTTCTTCTCTCTCTCTCTCTCTCTCTTTCTCTCTCTCTAGCCTCCCGCGTTGCCGCGCACTCGAATTTTCGTCAACCGGACTCTGCGCTTCGTCGGACGGAGACTGCGCTCCTAAACCGAAACAAAGAACGACGCTCCCGACTCGGCCGCCGTCTGGCGGCCGTTTCGCGAATCAGCCTCGCCCGCCTCGATTTATGATTTGTGTGTGTGTGTGGGAATTTTTTTCTTTTTTCTTCGTCGTTGTATCGTGAAATTGCACGATACGTTCGCGGAATATCGAAAAAAAACTGTTGACAATTAGAAATGTATAACGTAGCTTGTATGTTATATATTTCAAATGGCAAAAGTAGTCATTTTGACTTCAAAATGACGTTATAATAATTATTGTGGCTATTTAGGGTGTTGTAATTTTAAACAATGTTTTTAAAAGATTTTATGAAAAAAGCTGTTGACAATTAAATATAAAGACAAATGTATATTTTATGTTATATATCACCAGATGGCAAAAGTAATTTTGACATCAAATTATGTCATTTGATGGCAAAACGACATCATAATTATTGTGGCTATCTGGGATATTATAATATAATTTTAAAAGATGGTTTTTAAAATATTTTATGAAAAAAGCTGTTGACAATTAAATATAAAGGCAAATGTATAATGTATCTTGTATGTTTTATATATCCCAAATGGCAAAAGTAGTCATTTTGATGTCAAATTATGTCATAATAATTATTGTGACTATCTGGAATATTATAATTTTAAAAGATGTTTTCAAAAGATTTCATGCTTTTACTTTTATTCTCCTTATTAAAGAATAATGTATTCTTTATTTAAACTCTTATATAAAAACAAATGTATAATATATCTTGTATATTATATATTCCCAGATAGCGCAAAAGTAGTCATTTTGACGTCAAATAATGTCATAATAATTATTATGGCTATTTGGAATATTATAATTTTAAGAGATGTTTTCAAAAGATTTCATGCTTTTTCTTTCATTCTTCCTATTAAAGAATAATATATTCTTTATTTAAATCCTTATTTTTCTTCATTGCATCGCAAAACTATGATACGAAATATCGAGAGAAGCTATTGACAATAATATATATAAACATGTATGTACCTTACATCATTATATGACATATAAAACTCCAGATTAAACCAGAAACGATAGAACAATTTATGTAAAAAAAATAAAAAAATAAACATTCACAGATATCTTAAAATGAAAAATGTGAAATTAATATTACTCATATTTTCAGAGATCTAAGTTTTATATAAATATGAATTATAAATTGTATTCAAAAAAGATAGCAAAAGTGAAATAATTTACGCTGCATATTTTTTAACATATAAAATGTATAAATATTTGTAGAAGAATGTAAACCAAGAAATAATCGTATTCTTCCTTTTTATGACAAATTAAACATTGATGTAAATGTTTGATACACAGAATCATATATTATTTCCTATATTTTTAAGCAAAAAAGTCTATTTGTATTTATCTATAATATAAAAAGATAAACCGTTGATGGACACTAGCTTTATATTTGAATATAAATAACAATAGTAATATTACATAACAGAATTAAATTAATTGTAATTTAATATAGTTATTTTATAATACATTATTTTTTAAATTAATTTTTATGTCACACAAATATACACATGCAAATGTTCTAAGTAACTTCTGCTAAAAGTTGAAAAATTAAACAAATTCATCATTATTCAAAAGACTTAATGACAATTTAAATAGTATAAGTAAGGTATTATATAATAATTAATTCTCTATCAATATATTTTATTAAAATATTAAAAATAATATAAGTAAAATAATATTATATATTAATTCTCTATCAATAAATTTTATTAAAATAATATTAATAATTATATCATATTACTATATTAGTTGTTATATCATATTACTATATCATATTGAATTCTATGTATCAATATAGAAATTCTATATACAAATATAATATTAAGTTTTGTATATCGATGTCCATCAATAGATAATCTTAAAATATATTAAATTGCATCATCAAGATCTAAAGTGACTAAATAAAGCCTTTTATCTCCCACCCCAAATCACATTGGTATGTTTCTTCTTTATACAATGATGACGCTACTCGTTTTATATTTTATACACGAAGCAAATAATACTGGCGCACTAAATAAAATATGAACTGTTCAGTATATATAATGACAAGGAGAATGTCGAGGACGACAGAGAATTTATTCATAGGCCAAATCAGTAGTTTTGTGCTTTCCTCGCATTATTTAGAAAAGAGACGAGTGTATATTTAGAGAGATTAGATATTGATACTGTTTAGTGAGATTAAGTATTATTGTTGTGCATCTAAAGAAAAATATATATTTTGATCGAGACTGACTCTCTAAAATATAATAGAATTAATAATGATATTGATATAAATGTGATATCATTTTTAACAATAATTTTTTAATTATTTTATAATGGTCATTAAAATATCATAATTGTCATAATTTTTATCTTATTTTACAATTGCTAAATTTTTTTGATTATTAGAAAATGTTGTAGTATTATAATTATTTGATATTTATAACTTATTCTGTGTGATTTAATCTTAACATGTTCATGTTACTCCTCGACGCAAATATCAGATATCAAATGAGGTAGATTTATAAGGTATTCACTGTTTCATAAAGTTACTAAATAAATATCTACATTATAAAACAGTTAATAAGCGTTCTTAAAAGAAAACAATTATTTTTATGAATAAAAATATTTATAATTACCATCAATTCTGGCACGTTGTTCTTTATAAAAAAGTTAACTTTTCACAATAAAGACTTTTGAATCTTATCAATTTTCAACATTTAAAACATTAAAGTAAATTTTTGATTAAAATTTTATCTTGCAGATAAAACAAAGAAAAATAATTTAAAAAAATTTATTATAAATAAAATTCTATAATACCACATTTTTGTACATTTATAAAGATTGTTCAATATTGAAATTTAGATATCAGAGAAGCAAATAAAATTATTCACCTACATTTTTTTATTAAAAATTTAGAAATGCGCAATGAACGATTTAAAATGACAATTTATTTACTACTGGATGGTCAAATATTGACTTCAACATAATTTAAGCAAAAGACCAAACAAATCCATTGTATAAAATATATTATCAATCGCGAAAATATAAATTTGTTGATTTCTATTTATATCCTTCAGTTAAAATAGTATGTTGAAAGTAAAATTTTCATAGGTTAATTAAAAGATATTAATAAACTTTATACAAACTATCATGATAAATTATTAATTTGAAACCCTTAATTGTATTCATAATTTCTAATTATGCATTGATAAAAGAAACAAACAAGTTTTTTTAGTGATATTTCATGTAATGTTGCCTGCCTATCCATATTAATTATATGTTATCTATAATTTCTCAGCGAATAAAATGGCAGCTTTATTTTTTATCAAGCATGACGCAATTCGCAATTCTGTGCAAGAACAGATATATTTAATACAACTTGTATATAATATATGAAAAACTCACCTGTCCGTTTCTGAATTGTTGCTGTTGCTGCTGATGATGATAGAGTGCAACTTGTTGTTGAGTCATCTGATTGTTCAAGTAAACTAAATGTTCCGTACCAGGTGCTCCGCTCTATAAAATAGACAAAATATTTGTATAAATACAAAGAAAGCTATTTATCTATCGCTGTATAAAATATAATCGACATGCTAACAATCATTGCTTACTTTTAACTGCATAGGATGTATCTCATATGGTACATTACTCAGATGTACATTATTCATCGTCAATCCAAGTTGTTGAGATTGACTCTGTTGAGGTACACCGAGCTTAGTCATTGAATATTTCCATTTTTCTTGATTCTGAAACAAATTATTTTTCAATTATATAATTTACTTCTGATTATCATAATAAATAATCATATTACAAATATATATTATATAATATAATGTAATATTATATTATAATATCATATTATTATATTATATTATTAATATTGTATTAATAATTTTAATTCATTCTTTAAATAAAAAGAAAGATGCAACAATTGATGAGTATTAAATATAAACTTGATAAATATAACACGTGCATAAATTTCCAATTATTATGAAATAATTAAACCGAATAAGCAGTTTACTAAACATACATTATCAACGATAACATCATCCGCTAGAGCCCATGCTCTGGGAGCTTGTTTCGCTTGGAAAGTCGAAGATTGGGTATTAAATTCTGGTTCTGTAGGTCGTTGAAATACATAACCAACCATGGCATCGTCTTGAGTTCTATTCACCCCCATCTGATGTGTCTGACCAGGTTGAATTCGCATGTTATCTCCTCCAGCCATAACTTGTCCTAACTGTTCCGTATCCTAATAACAAAGCATATATACATCAAAGCTAGAATCATCGTAGGATGCCTATAACATTAATTATACAATAACTTTATATAGTTGCAATCGAAATAAGTCCAATACTCAATTTTGGCAATGTGCACAATTCTATATCGCATTTCCTAATTTTTAATATCAAGTATCACATTAAAATGATCAGATCATCGCTACATCAAGACAATTACGTTTACAATTATGAAAACTCTCAACCGCAGAATATATAATGAAACACGATGAGATTATTTCAGCAAAATTTGACGATGTGCACAATTCTACATCTCATTTCCTAATTTTTAATATCAAGTATTATATTAAAGTATCAGATCATCACTACATATCAACACAATTAAGTTTCCAATTTTCCAAACTCAACCACAGAATATATAATAAAACACGATGAAATTATTTCAGCAAAATTTGACGATGTGCACAATTCTACATCGCATTTTTTTACTTTTTAATATCAAGTATCACATTAAAATGATCAGATTGTCACTACGTCTCGAGACAAGTAAGTTTACCATTTTCAAAACTATCACCGCAGAATATATAATAAAACACAATGGGATTATTTAAACAAAATTTGACGATGTGCACAATTCTACATTTCTCATTTCCTAATTTTTAATATCAAGTATTATATCAAAGTATCAGATCATCACTACATCATGACAATCAAGTTGAAAATTCTGCAAACTCTCAACTGCAGAATGCATAATGCACAAAAGCATAATCCAACATCTCCCTAAGAAACGCCATTACAGTATACATCCGGAATCACGGTTTCTCGACAACAGACATGCAAAAATCCCGAGTCAGCGTCTCGGCAGGGCCACCTCGGCACTCTCGCGCTGACATTCGCAAACTCGACAAATCTCACAGTCGCGTAGGAGACGCCAGGAGGTTATGGCCACCCGATATCTCGACCGGAATTAATCATCGCGCTCTCCTCGCGGCTCCGGCGAATCTCTCGGTTGCCCAATAAAAGGAGCCGATCGAGGCGGGCCGGACTCGTAAATGGAACTCAAAAGAGTACCGTGGGTATGTGGCCGTTGACGGAGGTGTGATGCAGCTGCATGGAGGATGCCGGCTCGCCTCCGGCGCCTCCGCTGCTCGAGTTGAGCCACTTCATGCCTCCTCCTGTCAAAATTCTCGGCGCGGCTGTTGAACCTCGAGAGCCGCTGTCAAACCCGCTACCGAACGCCACGAACTCCTGGGGAGCCGGGAACGGGGGAGGGCACCCTCGTGAAGGTTAACCCTCGTCGACCGGCGTGGATGACTACGACGACGACGACGACGACGCGGATGACGATGACGGTGACGGTGATGCCGCTCTTACGGCGTGCTGTTCCGCGCGTTGCGGCGCATCTCCAGGTCGCCGATGAGGAGGTCGATGCCGACGGGGATGACGTCGACGGGGCGGCTCTCTCTGCTGCTGCTGCGACGACGATGGCGCGTAGATATCAGTCTTGACAGAGGACTTCGGCGGCGAACGCACCGTCCTACCAGCGAAAAGCAGATAATTACAGCAATGGCAGCTGTGTGTGCAGCTCCGGCGCGCTGCTGCCGGATTTTTGACAACACTGTGTACGCGGAGGACACGAAGGGGGAGAGAGAGAGGGGGGAGAGCACAAAGGAAACCGTCGCGCGAGAGAGAGATAGAAACTCTTATATTCCGGCTAGAGCCAGGCTAAAGTGACGGATCGAGCGCGGATTCGACGTACGAACGAACGGACCGAGAAAAATCGGAGGAAGGAAAGAAAGATGAAACAAGCGAGAAACAAAGGGGAGGGGGAAGAACGGGAAGAATGGACGCGAGAGAGAGATGGAACAAGTGAACGCGAGGAGATGGATGTGGATGAGGAAATTCTTGGAGAAAAAAAAAAAAAAATTCGTGTTTTGACAGCTGTCAAACTGACGAAATTTTTACCTCTCCTCGGGAAGGAGCGACGCACTCGGCCTTCTTTCTCCGCCTCTCTTCCTCGGTTTTTTTCTTATTTTCTTTCTCTCCTGCTCTTCGCCCACTCACGTTTTTCTTCTTCTTCTTCTTCTTCTTCTTCTTCTTCTTCTTCCTCTTCTTCTTCTTCGGCTCCCGCCTTCTTTCTCGCCTCTTCACTCGGTCATTTCGTTAAAACTAAGGGCTTAAAATACACTATTCACAGGTATGTACAACAGCCACGCGACAGCCATAGAAACACGACGTGCGTGTTCACCGGCGTACGCGTGTTTCGCGCGCAAGGATGCTGCGTGCGCGATTTCAGAGGGGGTGGGCGGGGGTGGGGAGAAGAGACGGAGAGAGAGAGAGAGAGAGAGAGACGATTGATGTGTCATTCGCCCATCATCGTCGCGCCAATTTGCATTTTTTCGATTTTTCTCGTATTTTGTGTCGATAATCAAACTTACTCACATAATTTTTGCGTGACTTCGACGAGTTAAAATTAGAAGAAAAAAACCTCGTGCGTGAACGTTGCGTTTGTAACTGCAATGAAAATTCAATTTTTATGGAAAACGACGGCGCCATCTGTCGGCGAAAAATGGAGGCTTTTGGCGCGAAATTTAAATACCATTCGAAATTGAATCGCGCGCACAATTATTCTCGAATAATAGCGATCTTTATAATAATGTTAAATAATATCATTTTATAATAATATAATAATAAAATATATAATTTTTTGTGTTATAATAATATTAAATTTTTAATATTATATATTTTTTTATATACATATACCTAAAATAATATTTTAATCTTTATAATAATGTTGTCTTTTATTCTCTCAACAGTTCTCAAAACTCGATAAAGTTTCTTCCAATAATTAAGGATCGCGTTAATTACTGTCGAAAGAGGTTAAGAATGAGAACCCCAGGGTTATCATTATTAATATTCATAAAAAAGACATAGTTTTAAGAAATATATCATATACCCAGATAGCCACAGGAATTATTATGACATCATTTTGATGTCAAATATTTGTATATATTTGTGTTTCTCGATGCACTTGGACGAGTAGATAAATAAAATGCGGAGACGATTTTGACAGATTCCGGAGATAAATCGACATAAAGACTGCACGTCATTCAAAGTCTATCGAGATGCTATTTTGCGATTCTCGAAATATCGAAGTCGTCGATAGCGGCAATTTTACGCAACAACAAATAATTATTAAACAGAAATAAATTTTAAAATAATTATATAAAAAAAAATATAGATATTTATTATTATATATAATATTATATATATTATATTATTATTATTATATATAATTATATTATATTATTATATATATATTATTATTATATATTAATATTATATATTATATTTATTATTATTATATTATATTATATTATATATATATTATTATTTATATATATTTTATAATATAACAAAATTATTATTTGCAAAAATTTCTTCATATATATTTTGGGATGAATATTTGAAGAATAAAAAATTTAAATATCAATGAAAAATTATATATGAATGTATATATGTATATTATTAATAGAAAAGTGCTGAGAGGAAGAGGAATATTTATTTGTTCCCCTTGAAATATCATTATAAAAATCAAGCATTTGCTCTCTTCTTTTTAATAAATATTAGAATATATGTATTTATTTATACATGTAATATTTAATATAAATATAAAAATGACAATAATAAAATAACAAAAAAATTAAATTCCAAAAAATTAAAAAAAAATATGTAAAAATTTTTTTGAACTAAAAAATAAGCTTTGAGAGCGTCAGAGTGACAAATGATTGATAAGCGTCTCTTTCGTAAATCAGCTGATTACGAGCACAAGTGGTTGACACGTAAGTAGCTAGAAAAGCGGTTCAACGAGATTGCATGAAAAAAATATAAAAAAATAAATAAATAAAACCAGTAATTTCGTTCACAAACACAGCTTTGGCGAACTTAGCGCGCGATATAGTGATGCTTATTTATGTTCTGTGAGCGTGAGACGAAATAGGGACGAAGGGATTCCTTATACCGTGTGTAAATCAAATAATCCAATAGTTGTGCGGGGATTTTCGTGTAAATGAAATTTCGCATGACACAATCGGCGATTAATATCCTTCGTCATCGTTCATAACATTATAATTATATGCATGTATATATATATATACAACATATATATATATATATTTTTTTCGGAAAGATAGAGAGATAATAGAGGTTAAAACAATCGCAAATATAGAAACGGAAGTAATTAACGTTCCTTCGTATTCTCTCTCCTCGTTGCTTCGTTCATTCGTAGATCAGCTCGTATTTATTTTTTAATTTCCTTATTGTAGCGAGGAAATTATTCAATTTCATTGTTCTTTATTAAGTATCATGGAAATCCAATAAAAAAAACGGAGAAAGCTAGTGATACTTTTAGCGAAATGTGTCTATAGTGTCAATATATATGTACGGATCTAAAATCGTTTTTGTACCTAAGATGTGATAAAATTATATTTCTGCATCGTTTACACTGATTTTATATTATGACATATATCAAATTTGAGAATGCGCATAAAAATTACTTGGAAATATATTAGAAACTTTACATGTATATATTTAAGCATAAAAGAATAGATGTATTTTATTAAAAATTAAAAAGTACATGTTATTTTGTTAAAAACTCGACATTATTCTGTTGTACTTTCAGGTATCGTAATGTTGTGACACATCACAAGCAAGGATACATTGTTCAAAATGCCAGCGATTTGGTCCGGACGACCTGGTTGGCTAGGAAAGTTTGGGATAGCATTACTGATGATATGGTTTATAGTATTAATTATATCCATTGTGCATATATTCAAATCCAATTCCCTGTCAAATCGAGATGCCAGTACTGCCAATAAAGAGAATACACAACGCTTAGCACAAATGGTTAGCGACTTTGAAGTTCTGAAGAAGCAAAACGATGCGTTAAAGAACTTCATTTTAGGGTATGTTTACGCATTAAGAATCTGTTTAAAAAAAACATTCATTAACATTGTGAAATTGAAATTTTAGACATGGGGATATTTCTATTGTATAGGCTAATTTATAATAAATATATATTAATTTATATAAAAAAATAATTTATATTAAAAATTTTAATTTACAAAGTAACATAATTTCCAGAGAAGGACCAAAATCTATACAGGGTGATCACTTAGGAGCCATACAAGATAAGTTGGGGAAGGCGTCAGCTTATTATGATCTGATAGAGCATCAGGATGGATCGCAGCACGGCATTCCTTCCTTGGAACACGAAGAAATGCGACGACGATTGAGAAATGATATTCAGGAGACGTGGTAATTACGATTGAAACCGAATATTCTTAATGTATAATACAAAAAAGATGATCAATTTGATCATATGCATCATAGGTATTATATAAGCGCCGAATTAAACAAATTTAAAAAGCACATTGATGAATTTACATATGATCAGAGGGAGAAAGAGATACAAGATGTGCTGAAAAATGTATGGGATCACAAAAAATCACTTATAATGAATATCGATAAACTTAAGAAAGTAGATGGTTATGAAGAGTGGCGGGAAAGGGAAGCAAAAGATTTATCTGATCTTGTTCAGAGAAGATTTAGGTAATAAATAACAACTTGTCACTATATTTAAATATATTTAATATATCAATCTTGCAGATTTAATCTAATTGCTCATTTTATTGATTTCAGATATCTGCAAAATCCTACCGATTGTAATAAAGCAAGGAAATTGATATGTAGTATAAATAAAGGATGCGGCTTTGGCTGCCAGGTAAAAGAATTAAATTATGCTAATTAAATCCTTCAAAAGGGCCAAGTAAAATAAATGCATCTCTTATTTCCAGGTTCATCACATTACGTACTGCTTTCTAGTAGCTTATGGTACAGAAAGGACACTGATATTAAAATCCAAAGGCTGGAGGTATCAGAAGGGCGGCTGGGAATCTGTATTTAAACCTCTCAGCGATACTTGCTTATCTACAACAGGTGTTTCGCATTCCAATTGGCCTGGTGATCCCTCTAAGCAAGTAATATCTTTGCCGATAGTGGATAATGTTTATCCAAAACCAAGGTTCCAGCCACCCAGCGTACCTGCAGACCTAGCGCCAAGATTAGAGAAGATTCATGGTCATCCCTTAGTCTGGTGGGTGGGACAAGTATTGAAATATCTGATGCGACCTCAGGATCAGATGAAACGAACGCTGGAGAAAACGAAAGAGAGACTCGGCTTCAAGAAACCTATCGTCGGCATTCACGTACGCAGGACGGATAAAGTCGGCACGGAGGCAGCTTATCACGACATAGATGAATACATGACTAAAGTGGAGCAGTATTTCGACGAGCTTGAGACCAAGCCGGACGTAAAGAGGGTTTTCATAGCTAGCGATGATCCGAAAGTGATAACGACTGCTAAAAAGCGTTATGCGAATTACGAGATAATAGGTGATCCGGAGATTGCCGAAACGGCGTCTGTAGCGAAGCGATATTCGGATGCCTCGTTGCAGGGAATCATTATCGACATTCATCTCCTGTCCGAGTGCGACTACTTGGTGTGCACGTTCAGTTCTCAAGTGTGTCGCGTCGCGTACGAGTTGATGCAAACCTTCTACGTGGACGCGTACGATAGATTCACGTCCCTCGACGATATATATTACTACGGGGGACAAAATCCGCATCCCCACGTAGCTATTTTGGATCACAAACCAAGGAAGAGTGGCGAGCTGGAATTGAAGGCCGGAGACCTGATCGAGGTCTTCGGTAATCATTGGGACGGTTTCTCTAAGGGATACAACACTAGAACTAGTATGACAGGATTGTTTCCTAGTTTTAAAGTTAAAAATCCCGTTGACGCCGTAGATTTTCCAAAATATTCCAATGTTCCTCTGCTGGAAGGTAAAGCCGATTAAATCGGAATTGTAAAGCCGACAATTCTCTCTCTGTTTATATAGAAGATGGAGAGAATTATCAGAGCTTCGACGAATCATTATTTCTCTTCAAATCAAATTTTTATGATGTTAGGAAAAATAATATGGCACGGTGTATATATATTTTGCTACTTGTAAATGACAATTTTAATGCTTGTAAATTCCTACAAATGTCCATGACTTGTCAAATAGGAATCTAATGTATCACAATTACATAATCATGTTTAATTTTAAAAAAAATTGCAAATATAATTTATATTGAATAATATAATAGAAGTTTTCAAAACACAATTGTGATTTTTTACATATGAAATCGTAATAGTAATAATAATAATAATAATAATTAGTTGATACTTTATGCAGCTATAGAAGTGCAATTAGGATTAAACTCACAATTGCAAATATGTAGTAATACAATACAGATACAATATTTGTAAGATTTTGATATATTTTCATTGAAGTTACGAAGTGGTCGTTGATTTGATGAGAGATTTAATTAAAGAGAGGAATAATTATATGCCGAATCATTATATTTTGAATTATAATGACTCGAAATACAGTATTTCGATATTCTTAATAATCGATAAGCTGTATTCCTTCTGTATTATGTACATAATATAGAAACAATGGACTGAGAAAAGGATTTCTTACCGCGCGTACTGAAGTATCCAACATTTGTGCCAATCAATCATTGAAAAGTGTTGATGAGTTACAATTTTGCGATTTCACTGGAAAATACGTAAAGAAGATACAATCACAACTTTCTATTCTCGTTTACTGCGGACTCATCGTGTTTTGTAAATAAGTTTGCCAAAATTTCGAGAGACATTGCTTCAGCAATCAATAATATACATATTTTAATAATCCTTGACTAACAACTCAATGTTCACAGCGTACAAAATTGTATAATATATAATTTACATATTCATCATATTTGAACATTTCTAAAATTTAATCTATTATGCATGATTTATGTAAATTATGTTCATTATATAATATATATAATAAATGCACGTGCGAACATCGAGCTAGGCTTGGGCCTATCTTAAATACATGGAAATTTTCCTTGTGTATATATACATATTGTAATATATTTTATACGCGAAACACGAGCGAGAATTGTTATTATAAGATTTGAATTTGATTTTGACTAATAAAGACTTAATTCATAAAACACACGTTTATGATTTCTCAATCTTAGGTAAAACATGAATCGCATTTTATGTAGAGATAGGTTCACAAATTTTATACGCCATAATATTCCATATTTTTATGATAAAAGTTTCATTTTGAACAGTGTTTACTCTTTATAAAGAAGAAAGTCTATATATTTTTTTAAATAACATATCGCCGATTTATTTCTATATATATATGTATAATAATATATATACATGAAAGATTATAGTACATCAATATAAAGATGTGTTTATATTTATTTATAAGAAAAACTATGTTAGAAATAATTGCCATTAGTCGCGTATACAAATTATGTAAAAAGTAGTTTTATCTGTAATTTTTTTAATCTTGTTTTTAAAAATACAATATAAATGATTGTAATGATAAAAGTGGATGAAGATCATTTATATCAGATTGTCATCGGCAGAAAAAAAATGAAACTTGATAACTGAAATAGATGTAGACAATACTGCTAAATAGAACAATATGCAAATAAAAATAAGCAACACAATCATCTCGTGCGTAATGAACATTTATATTCAATTACATTAAAAGTATTAGTATTTGATTCGTGATTGATATTCAATTATATTAAGCTCGAGTTACAAAGTCCTTTCAATGCAATAAATACGATAATTGTCCTCATTCTTATTTCATAAGTCTCATTTTATACATTGTTCGATAAAAATGGCAAATTAATGAGATCATGGAATTTAGAAATACTTATACATCTACTTTGAGTTCTTTAATCTTCGATATATAAACTAAATTTTAAAAGATAACTTACATTTCGAGATAGAAGATACGCTTGTGCGATAAATATAATTATATGTCCAATTATTACAAATCAATGTTTCTGAATCGATGAATCAATATTTTTCTTTTATACAGAAAATTAATTTAATCGAATATCAACTCTGATATTTGTATTTGCTGTGAGTACTTGTTGCTCTTTTTTCCCCATAGCCGAACTTAAAATCTATCATTAAAATAATTATTTTCACCAAGACTGCAACTATATTTTTATAGACCTTGTATATATTTTGACTGCGAAACAAAAGAAAAAGTAATGATTTTATGGACAAATCATAATACGCACTTGGGGAATAGTCAGAATAATTTCCAGTGTATAAAAGATATATATTGACAGATATATATCAAATATTATTTCACGAATATTGACTAGGTTATACTTTTACAAGATATGCAATCAACGAGATTTAATCATAACAATCAAAAATAAAAGCTATTTATAATTAATATATATTTTTTTTATTTAACTTATTTTACAAATACGAAATATTTATGTGTGCACGAGATGTTCGACCGCAATTGGATAATATTTTAATGGCAGATATTGCAATTCAAAATTAAAAAAAAAAAATTATTTTATTAAGTTTGTATCTTTATCAATGTAATCTTTGAATCACAAGGGATAAAAAAATTTCTAACAGATTAAATTTCAAAATTATAAAAATAAGTAATACAATATTATATTCTGTAAACTTTGTGCAAAATTTTCAGTCAATATTTAATTGACATTATATAGCCAATGTGTGTTAATAATTATAAAACGTAATTAATCAAATTTGTATTTAGGAAAAATCAAGATTTCGGATTTTTCAATTAAAAAATCTATCATTAAAATATTTATCGATGGTGGTGAGCCAGTCCATACATCGCCGTGTGAATTACAATTTATTGTCACAATAATACTACTATTATATTCCTTTTGCAAATTTCATTTTTAATGTTTTTCGCTTATTTAAATAATTTTCTTATTTAAATATGAATTATTTTAAAAATGATTAATTTTGTGATTTATATAAAATTATTGGCTAATATTTTTATAGATATTACCGGTAATTTTATATACACTAATTATATAACATAGAGATGTATATATGCAATTTCACTATATAAAGATAATTTTATGTAACAATCATGATCGAAAAGTAACAAAGATAGACAAATTTTAAATACCGTAAAGTTTGTATTTATAATTGAACAATATTATGAATTATAATGTACGGAAAGTGCAATATACAATGTTTCATGGTTATAATCCCTTACACATCTTTGTGTTCCAGATTCCAGTGTATTACGGTTTGAAAGACAGCTTGGTTTAGTAAATTATAAATTACAAAAAAAAAAAAAAAAAAAAAGGTAAGATAAAAGTCAACCCCAACAATACTGGAAATTGAATTCTGACTTTACACTAAATAAAATTACAAACAACATTATAGCACTTGTGTATAATGCGAACAATGTGATTGGGTATCCTCTCCAAATTTAATAGAATATAACTATACTTAAGAAAATGATGTCTGATTCACATTTACGTTACACAACTAAAAGATATGGATATCTCATCTGTGTTGTGCAAATATAATCCTTCGCTTTCCGTAAACCATTCAATTCAAATGCAAATAAGCAGATTCAAAAAGTTCTTTTCGTCCTTCCTAAGTTACAATTGACATTATTTCTTTACCACATATTCCGTTTATTGATTTAGCGTTCGTCGTTCTCCAATGATATTTTCTAGTTTTCGCGCAACAAAAGTCGCGGGTTTTTTAGGAGATGTACTCTCTGTCATTTCTACATCCGTGTCATCAGAAAGTAGTCGTTTTCCTACGCCCTTTTTCGCATCCACAGAAATCATCATCTTATTAATAGCTTCTAAATCCTGAAATGGAGGAAACAAAATATATATTGTATATCATGTATACATATGCAGGGTCTCATTTTAATCGATCACCCTCAAACATTTTTTTCATTTTTGATTGCAACAAAATACTTTAAATAAAAGTTATTTGATTTAAAGGGGAACAGAAGATAGCGTTAGTGACTTTTTTCTAAAAGACGTTTTTCAAGGTAATTTAAAGGTCATTTACATTTTTTGAATGGACTCACCATATTTTTTTAAAATAAATTGATTCCTTGTAATTTTTGGCATAAAAAGTTATAAAGATAAGATGGCCAAAAAAGATATTTTATACTTAAATTTGACATAATTTTACATACACTATGAAATATCTCGTAAAATATTTATTTTTCTACAATTTTATTTAAATACTTTTATACATAAAATAATGAAAGAAATCAATTGGTATAAAAAAAAACATAGTTGTTTGAAAGAAAAAATATGTAGCTGCTAGTTACATACAATTAATAAACTTGTTTAAAAACAACTATATGTTTTCTTTACACCAATTGATTCTTTTCGTTATTTTGTGCATGAAAGTATTAAGGTAAAATCGTTGAAAAATTAGTTTTACGAAATATTTCATAGTTTATGTAAAATTATGTCAAACTTAAGTATAAAATATTTCATAAACCATTCAATTTTTGGCCATCTTATAACTTTTTGTAGTGAATATTGCGAGAAATCAATTTACATAAAAAATGTAATTAACCTTTAAATGACCTTGAAAAGAACTCTTTAAAAAGAAGTCAGTGGTATCATCTTATGTTCCCCTTCAAATCAAACTTATGTTTGAAACATTTTGTTGTACAATCAAAAATAAAAAGAAAAATTGGGGGTCATCGATTAAAATAGGACATCTAAGAATTAAAGAGAAAATTTAAATTTATAACTACTTGAATTATATTGTTTCAATTACAAGAAAATCTATATAATTATTTTAATGTCATTAGTAAGGCGCGTAATGGAAAATATATTGCACAGAGAGAATTTTTCGTTATATTTTACCACAAAATTTATTACTATAATGCTTGATAATAAGCCGAAAATGTATTATGCTGCATATTAAAATTATTTAATCATGAACGATTAAGCTGGATTAAAAATATTACACTGCATTGTAAAATTTATATATTTTATATGTTTACTTGTTTGGCATCTATTCTATTTAAAACACTTACAGAATCATAAGTTTTTAATATGTTTTAAAATTATTGAAATTTTACTAAATATTTTAGTAAAATTAATCAAATGTTTTATAACTTATGATGGTAGATATTAATATCATATTTTATTGTGGTATAAATATTAATAAGAGAAACTCTTATAAAATTCTTCCAATATTCTTCCACGATTACTATGAATTTTATGATAAATTCTAAGAGAAAATTCTCTCTCTGTAGGAATAAATTAAATATTAAATGTTAAGAAGAAATAAGAATAAATTGAACACAAATTGTTCTACTGTGTAGATTAAAATCAATTGTACCTTGGCAGGACTACGACTGAAGCAGTAACTTAATTGCGGCGCCGGTGACGCGCTGATAGCCTTCGGATTCAGGGTACGTGTCATAATACTACCGGTAACACGTCTGACCGGCGAGTTAGCAGGTGCGTTTCCCTTCGGCAGAGGACTCAACGAGAGATTCATGACGTTACCGCGCGCCGATCCGAATTTGTTCGCGTATTCCTTGACTTGCGGGACGTATACCGTATTATAAAACTTAATTAAATCGCCTCGCTCCTCTCCGTCGAAGTTTTGCGACGTCCCAGCCATGTTCGTCGGGGTCGGCGGAGTGATATTCTCCGCCACGGCGCCGTTATCCTCCGACTTCTCGTTATTGTTGTTACTGCTCGTCGTGGTCATGTCCACGTCGTTAGAGATTTTCTTGATAAGAACGGACCTGTAAATATGCGACTCCGCCTGCGGCTGGAGCCGATAACAGCGCATAATCTCGGTGAACGAGTTCCTTTCCATCTTCACGAGTTTACATATCACATAAATTGCACACATTAAGATCTGATCGAGGTGTCGATCCTTCATCAGCTCGGTACGCTCCTTCACGGAGTACTCGAAGATCGTCCAGATCTTCTTCTTGTCGGTGTCCGGGATCTCCAACGAGTTGCACAGATCCTGCATGCGAACGCACGCGAGATTGTAGAACTTGCGGAAGAACAGCGCCACGGAGCCCGTTCTCCTGGGTCGAGCCGCGTCTTTGTTCGCTCCTTGCGCGGAATTGTTACTCGAGGCTTGCGCGCCCGAGGCTCTCGAAACCGCGTCGGGTACCAGGAGGATTCTTTGGCCGTCTAATAACATTCCTCGGTTGGAGGATAGTACGCTCTGCCCGACTCTCAGGACACTCTGCCCGGTGATCCTGGTCTCGGGGAATAAGCGTTTCTTTGCTATACCGGATGCTGCGATAGGCGACTGAAATCTAGACAAGTTAAAAACAATTAAGGTGCGATCGGGATTATATCCTCGAATTTATTACACATATATATGACTTTTCTATAATATTTTGAATAATTTTTTCTATTTTCTATTTCTAATTTAATTAAATTAATTATTTATTAAATAAATAAGGAACACTAGTTTATTACCTATTAAAAATTGAGCAATTTTTTATAAAACTTACATAAGATTTTGATACTGAAATAGATCATCAATATAAAAATCACATAAAATTTTAATAAAAACTTAAATATTGCAAAGACATGTTAGACGTGTTTTTATTAAATGCTAAATAAGAGTAAAATTATCAAAAGAGCAATTTTTTTTAACTTCCTTGAATCTAATTCTCTGATTTTTCAAGATAAAACAAAATTCATTTGCAGTTTTTCCCCGAGAATATACACCCTGTTTATATATCGCATATGTACATTCATACAATTTTAATTTACGAAGAAATTAGAACTTTTTCCACCACATTTCTTCTCCTTTTAGGCCTATGGTAGAGAACTAAACGCAAGTTCTGTAATCGTAGACATAAAGTAAGGCTTGTTGTACACACATATTACGTTTTTCTCTGCTTTACATCTATCGCTACGACAGACGTAAGAACTTACGTTTAGTGCTCTGCTATAGATACATACCTTTCTGAAGCAGACGAAATCGGACTCTGCTGAACGTCATGATGAGTACGATCTCGATCCAAAGCAATCCGTCTCAAGACGGGTTGACCAGGTGCATTTGGATCGATAATTTCTAAAGTACCAGGTAAGGAAACCTCCTCGCAGCTCGGCACACCGTCCGACAAAGATTCGATTGTTTGCCAGAGAGGACTATCACTCCGCCAAGCCAGAGACTCCAGGATCTTCTCCTCGATCTGATTCAAGTGCTTGACAACGTCTCGCGACAATTGATCCTCGGCTCTTACTATAATTTCTATGACCTTATAAAAATAGTACGCATCTAGATTCAAAGCCTTTAATATCCATGGAAACATTTTGTCGTTGCTCTTGTACGAATAAATAACTATCTCGAGGCAGCAGGCAAACAGGCACTGAATAAAAACTTCATTTAAAAGGAGGTTCTGCAAATATAAACAAATATTAATATATAAACAGGAGAGCAATAAAATCTGAAGATTATATAGCTAATTTATATAAACTCACAGTTATGTCATCATTCGGTTTTTTACGCTTCTCGTCGTTCAAAATCATTTCTAGTAACTTATAAAACAGAGTTTGTCCCATGACAAGACGCTTCTTTCCAAAGTCGGATGTCGAACCGTCATTTACATTGTTATTATTGTAACTTGCGCAGAATTGTTCACCAATCTGTTTAACTTTTGCTTCAAGCGAAGATTTAACATCTTGGGAACAATTGTTCAGCATTTGTAGTAAGCCATCACTTGGAGCAGATTGCCCGGCTATCAGAGCTTGCAACTTGATGACGCTTTGAGTTGCCGTTGTCACTGGTGTTATATTAGACATATCTTTTGATCGAAGGTATTTACGGCCAGTCAATGGTGTGGGAGGTGCTAGATGCTGTATAGGCTTTAAAAAAATAAAAATTCATTTATATATCTATTATAGAAATAGATTAATATATATATCAAATATTAATATTAAATTAGTATTATATAATATATATAATATTATATATGTAATAATTAATATTAATATTAAATTAATATTAAATATTTTTCTTTAAACTTACCCCAGCGTACTGTTCCTTTTGCAATTTGCTCATTTGTAGTTTTTCATGAAAATCATCAATCATTTGTGTAGGAGAACCAATGTTTTCACTAGCATCATGGCCTGAAACAAATCATAAATTGATATTAGAATGGGTGGTTGTAATTTAAAAGAGTAATATAAAAAAAAAGAGAAAATCGCTTTTTCGTTTAAAATAACAAACTTTTCATTTAAGTAAAGGAACATTGTGGAGTTAAAATGTAACCAAAAGAAATTAGTTTTCATTAAAATCATTCAAATGTTAAAAGCACCCTCTCAAAATATAAGAATTTCTCACACTCAATGTTATATCCCACCTTTTAAGACTACGTCTTTAGCAAACTCGTCATTCTTACTAATGTCTTGGCCAGATCTATCCGAATTTGATATGCTGCTCAAAATTACTCTTCTCCAATCAGCTACAAAGCACAGTCACGACAAAGCAAATACACAAATTTGTTTCAAGAGAAAAAAAAACTTAAAATAGATAAATTACTAGCAATTCTTTTTTTTAAACTCTTTCTTCTCTTTTTTTTTCAACTAGAAACATTATCAATCTACACATTCAGATAGCTTCATTATAAGGTATAAATTATTTATTATAGTATATGTTATAAGCAACTAATAATAATAAAATGTAAAATATTGAAAAGAGAAAGACAAAATTTTTTAATGTTGATTGATATTAAATACAATTTTAATAAAAATTTTTAGCAGGACTAAAAAAAGTTGCAAATAAATTATTAATTGCACAATATTTACAGATTTTTGCTTAACAATGTAAATATTTACAAAAGCGATATAAGCTAGCATAGAACATGCAAAATCATATTTCAAGCTTTCAATAATGCATGTATCAAATTTTTTTGGATGTGTTTTTTAATTATCTTATGAAAATTTTCAAATAATAATTAAATAACAATTTTACCTAAGAAAATTCTTTCATCAAAGTCTCCAACGCTCAAAACACGCTGTTCATAAGCCTTGTTAACAGCTTTACTGTTGCCATCAAAATTCAATGCCTCTAATATACCAGAAAAGTTTGATTGATCGCCACGCAGGATTTTTTCATTAAATAGCTTAATGATATAATTTTTCATGCAGTACTCCTTTATAACTTTAGCGTCAACAGGGATCGCTTCGTGACGTTCGCACAACAAACTAACAATGCAGTCTGCTGTTTGCGGAGGAGTATAGTTCTCATCGTTAAAATTTGCTGGCAATCCTATAAAACAAAAAATTTAAATACAAATGTAAAATATAGATATATAAAATTATTCTCGTCTGTTCTATTAAATTGGATACTCACCAGGAAATTTGGGATTCAATAAATCTTTTCTATTGGATAACAGAGCATTGCTGTATATAAGATCGCAGCAGACCAATAAGAGATGGTAAGAATTAACAAGATCATCCAAGATATCAGGAATTGCACCTTTTATGCATATAAACAGTGTCCAACAGAATTCAAAGACTCTAGCAGGTGTACAAGGTATCGCTTTATGCCTTCTAGACCTAGGCGGTCTAGAAACATCCTCTCTTGGATCCTTGAAGATATCATTGAATATTGGTTGATACTTCTTAAATATCACCATAGACACGGAAAAATTTTTTTCTAGCTTCTCTATTTTGGTGCGAAAATCCTGTGGCATATTGGCCATATCCGCCCATGATTTGCTCTTTGTAAAGAACTGTATCAGCGGAAGATTACACAATTGCAAGAGACGTGTCAGCGACACACAATTCCCTTCCACATTAGCACCTGTTCTTCCCACTGTCGGTGCAGAGGACCTTCTACAAGCTACATACACTGCGCAACCTATCCAATGCAACTGATCACCCTGTAAAACAAGTTTCCCCTTAGACTCCGATGAAATACATCAAAATATCATTAGAGAACAAAGCAAGAGGAGGAAAAAAATGTCATTATAACAGAAAATGAAGATTGCCCAAGTAACTGTTTCAATATTTAACGACAATATAACTGCGATTAAAAAATATATAACAATATTGCAGAGAAAACTTGTAAATCGACACTTTTACTGCGATTTAAACACTTTAATTCTTAATCTTTATTATTAACATTTTTGCGCGGATTAATATTTGCAAAAAAAAAAATCGTTCGGGCCGAAAAAAATATTTCGGGCCCGCGACGCAGGTTCAATAAATGAGCCACCTCCAGAGTGTAGTTCTGCCGGATAGTTTCGTAGGATCTCCAGGCCTCGGACGCGGCTGTCGCGTCCATGTTCAGCTTCTGGCAGAGATCCTGGTGCTGGCTATACGTCGAGTCCTCGCTGTCGTCCGACTGCCCCATCCTGCGCGCCGTAATTTTCAGGCCAAGTCGCGAAACTGTCACAGACGTGAAGAAGCCGCGGGTGGAAGAAATGTTACTTTACATCCGACATACAGAAACTCCGGCTCCGCCGTCGTACCGAGGCTGTTGCCGCGGGGGCTTGGCGGGAAACGACACGAGCGCCGACATCTTTGCCATGTTGGCGGGAAACGTAGAGCGGTCAGGTGTGCAAGCTCGCCGCGAGAGGGCACTCGGAGAATTTTCGTTTCCTCCATTTCCGGTTCCGGTAGTCGCCCATAGCAAAAATAGTATTTTGACGTCAAATTAGCTCATTTTGACAGCAAAGTGACGTATTTTGACAGCAAAATAAAATGACGTATTTTGACAACAAAAGAAAATGACGTATTTTGACAGCAAAATAAAATTACGTATTTTGACAGCAAAATAAAATGACGTATTTTGACAGCAAAATAAAATGACGTATTTTGACAGCGAAATAAAATGACATATTTTGACAGCAAAGCAAAAGACGTATTTTGACAGCAAAATGACGTATTTAGACGTCAAATGACGTCATTTTCACATCAAAATGACGTCATAGGCCGGTATTCGGGGATGCCAGACGATCTGTCTTATCTATCTTATCTGTCTTATGTCCGGTTCTACAATACGTCGTATGTCGCAGTTGGATGTCGGAACCATGGTCCGTAGATGAACGACAGGAGAAGTAAGGTCGTCGCATTCATTGTTTCAGCATTGGGCCCCAAAATGGCGCCGCCGATCTAGCTACCGGACAGCTGTTCAACTATAATTTTTTTTTTCACTAATGCTCGTTCTACAATACGTCGTATGTCGCAGTCGGATGTCGGAACGTAAGCAAGGGTCCAATGAGAAAATTTCTTTTTTGAAAACAAAATTTTTTCATTGGAAAATCACGTTCCGACAACCGACTGCGACATACGACGTATTGTAGAACCGGTCTTAGTACCATACATAACCGCACATATGCATATATACACATGCAAGGTCTATAGATGAACGAAGGAAGAGGAAGGAAGGTCCTCGCATAAACCGCCATTTTGGGGCCACGAAATTATGTGTGTGTATGTCGGTGTGTCTCGTACGAAGTATTAAGGTGCAATTTCACGTGCCGCTAAAACAAGTGACAGATTTGTCGCTTGTAATCCAGCATCAACAATTTTGTAGTTTGAATCAGTTCAATTACAAAGCATTTACTGCTTAAACGCTTAACTTTCAATTTTGTCGCGCTGCCTATTCTTTTCATGTACAAAAATGATTGCTGTTTAATTCAGCGACAGAAGTTGGTATGTGATCATTTTCGTTCAAACAATCGGTTTCAGCGGCTCGTGAAAAGACACTTTTAATGAAAAAAACTGTAGTTGAATAGCTTTGTCCAGTGGCTGGATTGGCGGCGCCATTTTGGGGCCCAATGTTGAAATATGAATGCAATGACCTTCCTTCCTCTCCCGTCGTTCATCTACGGACCTTGATACACATGCATATACACACACATATGCGTAAAAATTTATTAATGTGGGCGTGTGTGTATAACTTTTTTATTAGATTTATAAGGTGATATTCATAATCCGTTCTTATATTTAAGATCGTTTTAAGACCGGATTTACAACAGGTGTAGTAAGCTCTAAGCTTTAAGAAATTTATCAATCACAGTCAAGAATGAGGGGAATAATCGACTATGATTGATCAATTTCTTAAGGCTTAAGGCCGGATCTACAATAGGTGTAGTAAGCTGTAAGCTTTAAGAAATTCACCAATAACAGTCGATTATTCCCCTCATTTTGACTGTGATTGGTGAATTCTTAAGGCTTAGGGTTTACTACATCTATTGTAGATCTGGGTATCGATTCTGTAACCTTTTCTAAAGTAAAAATGTAAAAAGTGAAAAATTTCCGCCAATCGCACATCGATTTTATTTTAAAATCAATGCGTGATTGGCGAGAATTTTTCACTTTTCACGTTTTCACTTTAGAAAAAGTTACAGAATCGATACCCAGAGGTGTCGACAGAGAGTCGACATACTGGGTACCTATTACTGTTATTTGGGTGAGTTTGCTTACGAGATGAAAATCACAAAAGTGAGAGATTCACTAGATTTTGACCAATAGAAGCGTAGACAACCTAGTGAATCTCTTTTGTGATTTTTACCTCGTGAGCAAACTCACCCAAAGAACCGTAATAAGTACCCTTAGAACATTATGTTTAAAGTAAGTACCCTGGTTCTACTGTGCGACTACCACCTATGATACTTCATTGTAGAATGGTCTTAAGGCGATCTTAAGCCGGGTCTACATTGGTTGTAAAATCGTAGATCGTAAGAAAATTGATTCAATCACAGTTGAATGTGAGGAGAATAATCGACTGTGATTGGATCAATTTTCTTACGATCTATAATTCTACGACCAATGTAGACTCGACTTTAAATATAAGAACAGACTATGAATACCGCCCTTAGTTAATGTCTCATTACCTCTTATTTATACTGCGCGTATGAGTGTAAAGTAATAAATAATGGTTGAATGTGCGGCAGAATTTTGTAATAATTTTTCGTCAAAGGTATATATTATGAAAATATAAATTTCCATGTATTTTTTAAAATATTTAATAATTTATTATATTTGATAGCAATAGAAATTTCATAAAACTAGCGCAAATTGAAGAAAAATGGCGGACCAATCAAAGGTTGCTATCTTATCTTCAGACTCTGATTAGAGGGTTTCTAATTAAATGAGTGCCAGTATATAAGTACCATTATCACCTTTTACTTTATTATTTTCTTAATTTTTTAAATTCGGGCAAATGTGCCCACTTTTGCCTCTTTTTTAGATGTTCATCAAGCATGTCCTGATGAATAATTTAAATTTCCCGCTCTTTATTCCACTGCACGAGCGCGCTCGTGTTACTGCGCATGTGCGGAACTTTTCCCGCGATTTGGAAACGTCAGGCGTCAGCTGCTTATTTCACTCCGATGGAGGGTGCTGCCACACACACGTACATACACATACACATACAATTCGGTATATTGAAAAATTCGCTTACCTATTTTTAATTGTAAAACTATTTTTGTTTGTAAATTTTCATTTACAGATATGATGTATTGTTCATTAAAGTAACATAATTTTAATACAGGGATCACTGACCCTGACAGGACGAATTAATGATAATCTGTGTGACCAAATTTAGTCCGACAAATTGTATAGGTGTATATTATTATTAGGTTATTATTTCGCTTGAAACGTTTGATATATTGAAAATTTTATTTCTTAATATCGTAAAACTATTTTTATTTACACATTTTTATTTACAGGTATGATGTATAATTTTAATATAGTATAAAGGACCACTGATATTGATAGACAAATGGTAATGTGTGACGAAATTTGTTCGACAATTATAGGTGCGTATTAAGGTTATTTTTTCGCTTGAACACAGTTAATTACATAATTCAATATATTACCTTAATTAATGGGGTATAATAATTATTAACTAAATTATTAATTAACTAAATATACTAAATTATTAATTATCATTTATGAATTATTACGATAAATTATTAAATTTTTGTATAATTATATTTATATGAATTATATATATATATTTTTTATTAATTAATTTTACATAATACATACAATGATAAATAATTAAATATTTAAATATATTATATATAATTAAAAATTTCATAAAAAAAATTTAATTTTTTAATAATACAAACTTATCCTTACAAGGATCCAACAATTTTATGAAATATATATAATTTTATTAATTAATGAAAGGCTCGTATAAATTAAACAAAATTAAACAATCATATATAGTAGGCTAACTAAACGAGCAAATAAATAAGATGTAAAAAATTTTTTATTAATAGTTAAATCATTAAATTAACATTCCGTTACAGAATCGATATAAATTGTAAACGTTTCGACTGCACTACAGTCTTTATCAATACATAAAAATTAATATTAAAATATAAAGTTAGATGTTAAAAATACAAAGTTAATTAAATATTAAATATAAAATTCAAACGATTCTTCGCTGTTGACCAATAGATATGCAAGGCGATTGGTCTGAGATGCCAAGTTATGCGACATTTGAGCATGATTATCGTTTTAACAAGTCCTTTTCCCGATATTTCAAGTGTGTGTTGCGAAGTCTGAATACCATTTGGTATTCAGACTTCGCAACACACACTTGAAATATCGGGGAAAAGGACTTGTTAAAACGATAATCATGCTCAAATGTCGCATAACTTGGCATCTCAGACCAATCGCCTTGCATATCTATTGGTCAACAGCGAAGAATCGTTGAATTTTATATTTTAATATTTAATAACTTTGTATTTTTAACATCTAACTTTATATTTTAATATTTAATTTTTATGTATTGATAAAGACTGTAGTGCAGTCGAAACGTTTACAATTTATATCGATTCTGTAACGGAATGTTAATTTAATGATTTAACTATTAATAAAAAAATTTTTACATCTTATTTATTTGCTCGTTTAGTTGGCCTACTATATATGATTGTTTAATTTTGTATAATTTATTATATATATATATATATTATATATATATATATATATATATATATATATATATATATATATATGTATCTGTTATATATTTAATTTTCTATAATCAAGAAATTTAGACAAATTTTTATAATACATTTGCATCTAAAAAATATACATAAAAGTATATATATGTACATAGAAAAACACATAAAAGGAAATTAATTGTATATTTTGATGCACGCAAAAAATCATTTATTGCGATTTTTTAATATCTAATATTAAGAATAAATTATAATTATAATTAATCTTTATGCATGCATCAAAATATACAATTAATTTCTTTTTAAAAGAAGCATAAAATTTTGTTATAATAAATTAATGTCTACCTTTCCTAATAAATTGATATTATTTTCATATGAAAGACAGATGTATCCCGATAAGAATCTCGTTCATCAATAACGCTTACGTGTCACAAAAATATGTTGCTCATTGTTAATTTCGAATCTGACAAAGGCAATATATTTTCGATCTGGTCTGGAAAGGCATTAATGACCGGAAACGAGTATAATGAAGCGCGTTGATACAGAACCTCATCAAATGTTTGCCGTATCACGCAGGAATTACGCGACACATTCGCAATCTACAAAATAAATAATCGAAATGTATGACTCAAAGACGCGCAATATGTCTTTTTGAGAATAAAACTAGTCATTATTCCGAACAAGTATTACGAATCGGAGCGTATCTTATTAATTTTACTTGAAAAAGGTACAATATGATTGATAAATGACATTATATGGCAATAATTTCTCTTATATTAAGATATATATATATATATATATATATATAGATATTATATAGAACAATTATTTATATTACAATTATTATATATTACAAATTATAATAATTTATAAAGTTTATTATCTTAAATTATCTTAAGTTACATATTATATAGTATATAGATATTTTTTATTTTAATTTATATTAGATTAAATTATATCAACTATAAAAACTATACATAACAATATAAATTTATTATAATATGTTATATTATAATGTTAATAGATATATAATGTATTATATTTATAATTATAATTATATAATATATGTAATATAATTATATGTATATAATGTAATATATTATAATTATATACTATATTATGTTATATACTTATATATTAAAATCGTTTTTACTAATCGACTGCAATCGATAAACTATCGACTTTGGATCGGACTTTGATTACGCTACGAGTAGCGTATTTATAAATTTGCGGGAAATATTCTGTATCTTACATACATGATATCGTTATCGCTGTTGTGATATTACGATCTAACATTAAATGCATGTTATTTGCGGGAAGACCGGTTTTCTGTCCGCAGCATATCCCTGATAATAAAAAATGGTTCCTATACTTCATGCGCCCCCATTGCATCTTTACCAGGGTGCCTGCATAAATCTAAAAAAAAAGAAGTAGATCAAGCACATTATGCAAGACAATCGATCATAACATCAATCTTGAAATGTCATGTATAATAATAATACATCACATGCACATTTACAAAATACATATATATATATATATATATATATATATATATATATATATATATATTTCAAGTTTATTTACTTACTTATATACGTTCTATCTTTTCAGATATGGGTCTTCTCACGTTATCAGGCTCGGTATGCAAAATTATTTATCCCACTGTCAATTATCCCGACGTGTTTTTAATTAAACAGGAACGTCGGCAGGAGGATGAAGGTGTTCCGTGTAAACTATGCTTAAAGCAGCATAAGCGAGATCGGTGAGTCACGGAGCGTCGTCGAAGCCTTGTCCAGTTATGTCTTGGTGCTCGCACCGAGCTCACATCTATCTCCTCTCTCTGCGCCATCGTCATTGTCTGGGTACCAATAAAAGAGATCGACGAGACTGATGGCCGGTTAGTGTTCGCGTGATTCCACGCGATACGCGTCGCGAGTACTGAAGATAAGAGCTCCGTAGTTCCCCAAGACTAGCTTCTGCAGCGAACTATGCCTACATTCGCAACCTCGAGTGCGGATTGAACTTGACCCGTATCCAGAGGACATTGGAACGTCCTAGGTCGTCGAGGCGGCAGAATCGATCAGAGAATCGCACAGAGTCTCGAGGACTTCACGAAAATTATATTTTTTTGTCGCACTTTCTCTCAGGTGGGTGTTCATTGTCAATCTCAGATAGCCAGTAATTATTATTTGACGTGGAAATGTAATTTTTAAAATAATTTTACATCATTGATAAAAGCATTAATAAGAAAAAGTGATAAAATATACTTCTTTATAAGTTGTATTAAAAAAAAATTATACTATTATTATACATATAATTATATACTATTATTATATACTATATTATATACTATTATTATATCATTTCTTCGTGAGAAAGATTTTGCAGTAGATTAAGTAGTTAATTCAATTATCTGTGTGTTATAATCAAAATCACTAGTTGTCGTGATTATAAATACATTAATTCTCTATATATAACTTGTGAAGATTTTATAAATACTTGAGTAATTATTAAATTTTATAATTAGTGCCGAATTTCATAATTAATAATTGCGTTGATCGTAATTAGCAGAAAAGGAGAGTCTTTTGAGATTCGATGGTGAAAAGTCTTACTTCCTACGCTATTATTTAGCATATCATACGAAATGAAGATACAAAAAGTGCAATATGTGATAAGCTATTCATGACAACTTCACTTTCACATATGACCTTCGGGATAAGATTAAATCCTGTTTAAAAGCAGTTTTGATAACCTAAGTAGATATTTTTTAAAGTGAAATTTGGTAGTGTGTGGAGTAAAAGCTATAAAGTAAAAAGTTAAGTTATAATAAAATAAAAAATGAAGAAAAATCGGAAGTAGTAAATATATATCGTAAATTAAATAACAAATTGATATACATATATATAGTTTTGAGAAATGTTAATTCTTATGCTAATAGTAATCCTTTTTTATTTTGAATTTGATGCATGTTGATTAATAATTAACTGCTCTAATTAAGTAATTTAGTTCCTTGACTAAGATTATTAATTAATTAATGATTATTAATGAGAAATTGTAGGGAAAATGTCCTGTAGAGAGAGAGAGAGAGAGAGAGAGAGAGAGAGAGAGAGAGAGAGAGAGAGAGAGAGAGAGAGAGAGAAGAAAATAGTTAAATTGAAAATAATTGGCATATTGAATTTGGTTTCTAAAATAAATAAATAAAAATTTCTAATTTTTATGACAACGATTGAAATCGATATAATTTTGATGAGTTTAATTTTCGGTACTTATAAAAAAAATTATATTAAACATCGAATTGTATTTATTAATGAATAAGCATGAAGACTATAATTACATGCATTTAATATTCAAATACAATTGTACTGATAGTACAATCAATCCTTGTTTTGTGATTTATTTTTTTATCGCGATATCTTGTGTTTTTTTATTACAACATGAAATTAATGAGATTCTATGATAAATAACATGTTATTAAATAATATACAATTATATATATATATATATATATATATATATATATATTATTTATAATTTATAATATAATATTTATATTATTTATAATTATAATATAATATTTATAATATATATGGTTTATAATTTGCTGTTTGTAATATATATAGTTACGTGATAAACATTAATGCAACTGTCAGATAAGCGTGAAAAAAACGGGCTGGATCGATTGAACGTAATTATGAAAATCGCGAATCGTTATTTGACTTTGGTGGGAATTCCAACTATCAGAGACGTCACTATTCGATGTATATGTATATACTACATCATAGAACGCGCGATAAAATGCATCGTGGCGGAATTCATCGTAGGGAAACTAATTTTGATTATTTTATCTCGTTATTTATTACATGTACAGGGTATTTCTTTCAAGCACTATTCTTTCTTTTTACTTGCGGATTTTAAAAATTGATCTTACTTCAGCATAAATTTCCTTCAAGAGATTATCTTTTATTGAAACTTGTATATGGGATATTAAAATTTATTTAATATCCCATATATTTTATTATTTAAATTTGTGATTTAAATATTTTTTTAATTGGATGTTTTGAATGACAATTTTATTAGATTATATTATACGATTAATGAAACTTTGTTTCTCACATATATTTTAAATAACTTTTGTTCACTTAATTTATGAATATATTTTTAATAGATTATAAATCAAATTTTTTTTTCTCTTTTTGATAAATTTTTATTCACTTTTTGCAATTGACTTCAAATTAATAAAAAAAAAATCATGAATAAAGGAAAGATAGCAGCTTTTTAGGATAATAATCCATGATCCTAATCCAGAACATATATTGTATTAAATATAATTATACATATGCTTACATATGTAAGATGACTTTTTGGACACAAAAATAGTACCTACATAAATAAGGAGAATAGTATTTATGATCTTAAAAATGATTTATATTATATTTTTTATTGCGTTATGATATATTTCCTGTTAGAGGAGTAAAAGTTAGCGTGAGGAAGTGGCTTAAAAAAATGATTACATTTTTTGCGCGGTTAAATCCCTAATCTGTGGTACGTGTCCGCCACTCCCTTGGGAATTTCCGACGACATTGTATAAGGTAGTTTTACAATCGCGTCTTTCAGATAATATATAGATGTCTTCTGAGACGTGCTCAAAAGCGCTGGGTTATTCCTAGCATATATCTGCATTGTCCCAATGTTAACGAGCACGACAGAAGTATTGTAAATTTATTCGTGCTTGACATTGATTCATGGTTATTCTACACAAAGGGATATCTTGAAAAAATATTCATTTAAAAATGCTTGATAAGAAAATATTATTTCAGTGGTTTAAATTCCTTTTGTTTAATTTTATTTTAATTCAGATATTTTTGACTTTGAAAAACATTTTCGAATCTTCTTTCTTCTTTCCTGTAATATATTATAATATTTTTTATTATATTAATATGTTTATTATTATAATATATATATATATATAAATATAAATATATTGTAACATATATATTTATTATTATTATATATGTGTGTATATATATATATATAATAATAATAATAATATATATATATATATATATATATATATATTTATTTATTTATTTATATATTAATAATATATAAATTATAGATATATTTATTTTTAAATTATTTTTTATTTGTTCTTTTCTTTTATAATATTTGTTGAAATGAGTTAAACACGGATGAATCGTATCTTTTCTATGTAATTTAATCGATGTTAGAATATGTTTGTGGCTGTTTCTCAATAATCGTGAATACTAGATGTGGTAGAAATAGTGGTAAATATAGTCTTACGTTGATGATTGTTAGATTATTAGCGTAATGAACATTGAATAAAATTAGATATGCATTTTCTTGTGCCTGCGCTTGGTATGCATTCAAGATTATATATTTCTCATCAATTATACAGAATATATAACTTCATCTATCGATTTCTTCTTGTTGAAAGCTTTAAGATTTTAGTATTATTCTCATATTATTTCTTAGTAAAAATAATCAACTCTTCCGGTCTCAGCGAGTTTTCATAAATGCTAAATATTGATTAAAACAAGAAAAAAACACCTTGTATATTTTGATTTAAGATATTTAAATGTAACTTGAAATTACTTTATATTATATTTAATGATATTTTTTTTAATATTACGTATAAAAATTCACGTGAATAAATCACTAACTTAAAAATAAGTAGTTAATTAAAATAAACAAAATAATTAAAATATACAAACAAATAAATTAATCAGTGAAGATGATGCTTATCAGTCTGATTAACACATGAGATATTGAATGCGACTTTTTTCTGCACTATATTTCCTGCTTGTAGATATTTTTATCAAAATACATTTCCTGACTGGTTTTGCCTAATTAGTCTCATATCTTTATAATTAGCGAAACACATCTGGCACAATTGATTATGGCATTTCAAATCAATGATAATATGTGAAAATGTCGCTTAAAAATATTTATATGTATTTTATACACACTATATACAATTATAAATTACTTTTTTGTCTTAAGTTTCTAATTATCGATTATAATTATGGAATTTTTTTATAATTATCGATATAAATATTGCGTTATATTATATATCGTTTTGGCGAAATATTATAATATTACTGGCAAAATGATCTGAAACATGATTTTTATTGTATTTGCAAATAATAATTGTACTGCAAATAATAGTATGTATATTTGTATGTATATAGGATGTGAGCAATTATGCGAACTACATGTCATTAGATGTTATTATATTTACGAGATTCCGTTGCTAATTGTTTACAACGAATACCAAATTTATACTCACAATCATAGCTAATATTTCCGTTGTCACCGTTTGAAAAAATATATACTAGATAGATAATTTACTAATGACTTACTACGAAATTATCTAATCATGTTATCGAATATCGAATCTATACATATAAGAGATGAAAAGATGAATAAGAGGAAGCAATATAGAAAATTTAATTGTACAATATAATTTAATAATATTGAAAATAAATTAAAAAATTAATAATTTAATTTTTATTAATTTAATAAAAATCAATTTAATATAAATAAAAAAATTTAATATAAAACACAATCTAAAAACTGTTTAAAAATTCTTTTGATATCGCGTGAAAATTAATAGCTTTCTAATGTAGGACAGAATGTACATTTTTATCAATCTCTCTTGATTGATCGTTCTTTCAGAAAATCAATATCACAAACATGTATCTGACATGCAATTTTCCTTGCAGATACTCGAAAGCATGGCACGAATGTGGTTGCTGTTTGGTCTTCTGGTGTTGGCCGAAGGTCAGCTTGTCTATCCCGATCAATATGAAAGGATGACAGTCGACCCGAATCGTTCATCCGTTCTAGGATTGTTAACTCCTGCCTTAAAAACTGCCAGCAGCAGTCAACCAGTTCAGACCTATAATCAATCCATTTACAATCAAGTGTCTAATCAAGTTCCGCAATCCGGCGTCCCGGGTCCAGGAATGGCGCAAATTTACCCTACAACCCAGCTACCCTCTTATACATATCCCCCAGTAAGTCCGCTAGCTAATTCCACAACTATTCCATTATTGGAAAATTGGAGCAATCATGTAAGTCATATTACATCTCGTTCTTTGCATGTTATTTAAGCACAACCACAGATATCTATATTAAAACAAAAATATTTTTAAAAATATACATATAATTATATATATATATATATATATATATATATATATATTATTAAATTGATTAAATTAATATTTTATAAAATTAATTTTATTTTCAGAGCATCTCAGGTGGCAAAAGTACGTCATTTTGACATTTCATGACGTCAGTTTGCTACTTGGAAAGTTATTTTATTGTTGTGCACACAAATGTCTATACTAAAGTGTGTATATATATATATATATATATATATATATATATATATATATATCACACACACACACACACACACACATATATATATATATATATATATATATATATATATATATCTGGGTGCACAACAATAAAATAACTTTCCAGGTAGCAAACTGACGTCATTAAATATCAAAGTGAAGTACTTTTGCCACCTAGGATGCTCTGAAAATAAAATTAATGTAATTGTAAATTTTTATATTGAATTATGTTACATTTTAAACAATGTACAGTCTATATAGAAATAATAATAGCGTCATGCACGAATAAATCGATTATATATAATGCTTTTCATATATATATATATATATATATATATATAAGTTTATTAAAAATATTAATCAGAGGAACACGAAGAATGTTTTATATGTTCATCTTTTATCGATTCTGTAACACGCGCGACATGTGAGAGTACATCGATGTATCATTGATTTTAGGTGAATAATATTATAGCCAGAGGAATCATGAAGTTTTCTTTGGACATGGATAAAGCGATTTACAATACCAAAGGCACAGCAGCGGCTAATAATCGTGAAAATCTCATCTTTTCTCCACTCAGCGTTGCTGTCGCCTTGTCATTAGTCCTGTTGGGTTCCGCTGGCAGGACTTTCAATGAAGTATCCCGGGTTCTCGGTTTGGAAACAGGCGTTGATATATCTCAACATTCGGAAATTGTTCATCAGACGTTCGGCCAGCTGCTGAACTTCATAAACTATAGGATTGAGGGGAGCAATAAACCTCGTGTAGATTCCGCAAGTGGTGTCTTTGTTCAGGTATATGCTTATTAATTATTTCCATTATATAGGATTAATAAAAATTTAGCGCAACGAACTCAAATTCACTATAATTATCTAAACCTGTAAAAAAATCTTAGAAGGATCTTAAGCACACACAAGCACAAATATTATTAATATCTAAATTATAAATCATAAATTAAATTATATATTTAAAGTATTATATTAAATTATATTAATATTTATAAATTATAAATTAAATTATAATTATATAAATAATTTGAGAAAAATAGAGGATTTGTAAATTAAAATTCAAACATGCAAATAGATGCATTCTTCATTTAATTTTAAAAAATGTTATGTTTTAATCAATTTTTAATGAATAAATTGTTTTAGGAGGGATATCCAATTCGCCCTGAATTTCGCGCAATTAGTGAGAACGTATATAACAGCGACGTGATAAATTTAGATTTTCAAAGAAAAGGCAAAGAAGCTGAAAATTTCATTAACAATTGGGTAAAGCAACGAACGATGGGAAAGATTGACGGGATATTGAGCAGCGAACCAGATCCGACGACTACAGTTATTCTTTTGACGGCCCTTTATTTCAAGGGAGAATGGAATCAACATTTCTTAGAAGGCATGACGCAAAGGTGTGAGACATTTATTTTATTCTATTTATTTTTTTTTTGGCAATCAATAAAATTATTCTATCTTTATTTTTTGCTAATATAATATATTTTCTGTTGCAGAAGAGATTTTTTCGTCGAACCGAATGATCGGATCGGGATAGACATGATGTACAATGGTGGTAATTTCCCCTTTTACGAGGACAAATCGCTAGGCGTTAAAATATTGGCTCTACCCTACAAAGGTTTAGAGGTAAGTGAAAGTAATATCATATCAATATGAAAATATTTAATTATAATTTAATATCAAGATATCTTTGAAGATATTTATTTAAATAATGCGCACTATTGTGTGAATACACATTTTAAAAAATTATATTATTTTTTTATTAACAAGATGAAATCTAAATTTTTACATCCAAATCTCAAAAATTATTTTTAAGATACTTCATTTCTGCACTCCTTTAATTATATTAATTATTTATTAAATTATATGAATAATATTGATAAATTATAAATTAAATTATATATAATTACATAAATAATTGCAAACATGCAAATAGATGCATTCATTTAATTGTTAATGCTTTTTTATATTATATTTAGTACGTTAATAACTTTAAACATTTTCTTCCCTTATTTCTAGACGTCCATGTACGTTCTTCTGCCGAAAGTCGAAGGAGCCACCGCGCTGAAGAGCTTCCACGATCAACTGACAGTGGATACGATCGAATACCTAATAAGCAATCTTAAGAATGAAACCTGCATCATCGGCTTCCCTCGCATGAAGCTCTCGAGTACGTTGAGCCTGAACAGCGCGCTCCAGAATTTGGGTCTGCTCTCGTTGTTCGACGCGAAAAACGCGGATCTGAGCCTCCTCTCGGGATACGGACAACAAGCACCAGCGGCGGCCGCGCCAATTTCCCAAATAAACTTGCCGCCGTCGCAAGTCTCGCGGCAAGTTTATCCCGATCAGCTGTCGAGCAAAACCGACGACGTGCTCATCTTCTCGCGGATCGGGGATAACAGTAGTAGTAACCAGGGTGCGAGAAGAAACTTCTTCAGGTACGACGATAAGGAGCGCGGACTTAGTGTCGAGCAGTGGAACACCGGATTTCATATTGAAAAAATTCGTAGAGCACGACGCGACGTCGCCGACGAGTCATCACGAACGGCTTACGTCGCCGACGATCTCGAGAAGGTCGCGCCGAAGGTCAGTGACGAGAATACGAGATACGTGAGCCTGGAGCGGAACAAGTATCGTTTCAAGAGCGCCGAGAAGAGGATGAGGAAGAGACGGCAGAGCCGACCCATAGACGAGAACTTTCTGAGGTTCATGCAAAGCAAGAATTTCCCGTTTTACGGCCTGGACAGTCTCCGAAACAGTCCGGGTCTCGTGAATCCGGGCCTCTTCGCCGACGAGGTGCTGCACAAGGTTCACATGGACGTGTCTGAAAAGGGAACCGAGGCCGCCGCGACGACGGCGGTGCTTTTACGACGAGACGGCAGTCAAAAGAAATTCATCGCCAATCGACCCTTCCTCTTCTTCATTAGGCACGATACGACGAAGCTCGTTCTCTTCTGGGGAACGGTTAACGCGCCAATTCCGAATTACGCCGTCGTCAGATGAAACGAGCTGTGAATGTACAGAGTTCGTTCTTCTCGCGAATAATTCGTGTACTCTATTTATGCTATTCTTTACTGTATACTCTATTTATATATTTGCCTCGCGATTCGAACAAATGCGATTTATTATTTCTTTTTTTTTTTGTATCGCTCTGTAACAGACAATTTTCGCACTGTTTTGTCGAGTTTCATCGCGTTGCATCATCACACATATACATATATATTTTGTTTTAGCATCTGTTATTTTGTTATCTTTTCTTACTGGCGCCCAGATGTTATTGCATCATCTGCTGATATTTTTAAGTTAACAACAATATTACATTTTTAATATATATATTTTTTTAATATTACTCAAGTGAAAGAGCGAGAATTTTGTGATCGAAAATATTAATAATTCCAAGTTTACAGAATTTCAGATAAATGTTCAACGCACTTATATAATATCATTAGCGCCCTATTTAATTAGAGTATAGTTGTCAGATTTTTTTAGCTTTATTTGACACCGCACGTCTTATTGTTCTAGATATGATTCATTTTGTACTTTTTCAATAATAAACAGTTTCTTTATTTAAATCTTTGTTACATTGGAAAATAATATTGACAGAAACGAGTAGAGACGATGTTATTGTTTAGGATGAGAGACAACAGTCGTGTCCTATGATATCAGTACGTATTGTTATATACATATGTTATTGTGTCGCTTTTCGAAATCTCTGTATTTCTCGCGATTTTTGCTTGAGAAATCGTGTAAGTAATTAAACCCGCAGTATTATTTCGATCGTTGCGTCGTGTTAATTATTACCGATTATTCGCGAGTGCGTGTTATGGCTGATAGATATATACATATATATATATCTCTGTTAGTGTATCTTTTTTTATTCGACTCGACAATATGTGTGATCCACACTTGAATAATAGTTCGATAGATGAAAGCAATGGGTACGTAAGATTCTTGTACAATGTACAATCATCGTATCCTGCTAACATGTATGATGCAGGTGGATATATGCCTAATGTATTACCAGTACATCCGCTGCCACAGCCTGATAACAGTAAGTACATTCAATTTATTGATGCAATCAGATATTGAGAGAGATTTAAGGATTTTCTAATAATTGCTGCAAGAGTTGATCGACTTTTCAACTAATACCCTAAATTATTTTTAAATAATTTTATATATTTTTTGTCAGATGAAAAGTCAGTTGTGAATATATAATATTTTATATGTATATATACACTACTTTCTATATTGTCTCTACTTATATATAATTGATTTAAATATATTCATATATTCTATTTATTTATATATTTGTGATTCAAATAAATTATTTATTTATAGAGAATTAAAAAAATAAAAACAAATTGTTAGGCATAAAAAAAGCCTAAGATGAGCTAAATATTTTAGATATAGAATAAATTATTTTTAAATTCCTTTATGCTTATTTGAGCGTTTCCATCTTTTCTGGACCATATTTAAAACTATCTAATAAATATCTTAATAAATAAAAAATTAATATGCTGAAAATAAATCCACAAGAAAACCCAATATAAGGTTCAAAGTAAATATAGAGAAATTTTTTAATAATTTTGTTGTAGCTAAAATATATTATAATAACTCATCATTATTTATATCTGAATTATTTTGTATATATATTGGAGCTTTTTTGACTTATTAGTTTAAAAGTATAATTTTGAAACATTTCAAAAAAATTATATTAATAGAATTTAAAATAAATTAGTCAATATATTTATTATTGCATATGTTATATTCATTTTTCAGTAATTTTTTTTAGTATTTATATCTACATTTAAAATTTCACACAATACTCTCTTAAATTGTTTTCAGAATATTAAATAAATATAAATATAATTTTTGTGTGCTGCATCGATGCAAATCAGATTTCATCACAAAATTAATTTAAAATAATCAAAATCGAACATTAATTCATATTTTTATTTTTATTCATTATTTTCACTTTTATTATTATTAATTTATTTTTATTTTATGAATTATTCTTTCGTACAAATTTTATTATCAGATTCTTCATAAACGGAATTTCTATAAACGAGCACTAATTATTCCCCCATAATTTGGGGAATAAAAAATCCCTATATCGCATAGTTACTTGCATCGACATATAGAATGGACTGAGCATCGCGATGGGTAAGCGCGCGCCTGCTTTAGAGTGAGAAGTACTACATCTGAGGCCTATGTTTGTCTCTCTTTTTGCAGGGCCGTCTAAAAAAATTGCGGACCATGTGCATTTTTCTATGAAATGTGTAGTCAATAGATTTTTTTAGAATTTATTTATTTATTTATTTATTTACAATTTCTTTATGTGTTCTTTTTCTGGAACTCTGAAAATAATGATAATGTATTACTAGCTTTATATTGTATAATTCAATTATTATTATATTACAAAATATTTAAAATAATGTTCTAAATATCTCTTATTTGTAAAACGCATAATCTAACCTAACTTTTTATAATTTTACTTTACACAATTTTTATTACATACTATTACATATCTTAATTTTATTATATAATATATAATTTTAATATATATTTAACAAAACTATGCAAGTTACGTATATATAATATAATTATATACAGCTTTAAAACAATATGTTTAAAGAATGTGTTACAATAATGTCCTATAAAAATACTTTTAATGTACTTACTTATGCATCTGTATATCCTTTTTATTTTTATCATACGTAATTTTGCACACAAAACACCTTAAAACCATTTTTTAATTTTTAAAGATAAAGATAAACGTTTCACGTTATTCCAAAGCGAGTAGGCGAAGGTGAGGTGTCAAAAATTTAATGCTATGTTACTGCTAGAATTCTGGAGGGGGACGAAATAACAAATCAGAAGCTTGCAAGAGAGACAAACATAGGCCTCAGATGTAGTACCTCTCACTCTAAAGCAGGCGCGCGTTTACATATCGCAATGCTCAGTCCATTCTATATGTCGATGGTTACTTGTTACTTCTATTTAGTAAAATATTTCGGACAAGTTCACAATTCTCATGTCAAAAAGAAAAAAAATGGCGTCTGCAATTCTGATTGGCCGCTCGCGTCCGACAAAATCGACCAATCCGCGCATCTCGTCGCTGTATTGTAAACTGTCAAAGAACATCACCGGTAATATATCAGATTTCATCACAAAATTAATTTAAAATAATCAAAATCGAACATCAATTCATATTTTTATTTTTATTCATTATTTTCATTTTTATTATTATTAATTCATTTTTATTTTATGAATTATTCTTTCGTACAAATTTTACTTATCAAATTCTTCATAAACAAACACTAATTATTCACACTTAATTAATAATATAAAATATTTCGGACAAGTTTACAATTCTCCTGTAAAAAAGAAAAAAAAATGACGCCTGCAATTCTGATTGGCCGCTCGCGTCCGACAAAATTGACCAATCCGCGCATCTCGTCGCTTTATTGCGAACTGTCAAAGGGCACATCACCGGTAATAAACATAACCAAAAAGGCGTGAAAAAGTTTTTTCGCAAGCATAAAGAAAGTGATTTGAACCAAATAATATTATCGAAGAATCGTGTCGGAAGTCCAGGAGAGACTCAGCCCCGATGCCGAAGTACTACTGCGACTACTGCGACACGTATTTGACACATGATTCTCCGAGCGTCCGCAAGACCCACTGCCAGGGTCGCAAGCACAAGGACAACGTCAAGTACTTCTACCAGAAGTGGATGGAGGAGCAGGCGCAGCACCTCATCGACGCAACCACCGCCGCCTTCAAGGCCGGCAAGATCGCCTCGAATCCCTTCGCCGCGAACAAGGGCGCGGCAATCCCGCCTCCGCCGAACCTGGGCTCCAGCCTGGGCTCGCGATCAGGAGTCCCACCCCAGGGACCGCCAGGAATGATGCCGCCACCTGGTATGCACCCAGCTGGTCCCATGGGGCCTGGAGGACCGATGATGATGGGCCCTCATGGACCAATGCCACCTCCGATGATGGGAATGAGGCCACCTATGATGGGACCGATGGGCCCCATGGGTCCCATGATGGGTCCCATAGGTCCTATGGGGCACATGAGGCCCCCATGAACGGACCACCTCCTCCTATGGTTGGACCGCCACCAATGAAGAAATAACAGTTGGAGGAGTCTTATTTTTTATGTATTTTCTTCTTGCGGCGATGGACTCTCTTGAGTTTTTATTGCGTGTCACTGAAATGGTTTTGCATAGAGAGATATGTCTGTATGCGTAGATTGTATTAAGAATTATGATTTAGTTCTCTGCGACTAGAAAGTTTGATCTATGTTGAATGAGATTTCGATAGTTTTCTTCAGGAAAAGTGAATGTAATGTCTCGATACTCTCTATACGGTATGCTCTACTCTACATCTGTCATTCACTACTCTGACATATGGAATTACTAGAATACAAATGTGAAATATATATAATTCTGAATCTTATAATTAGTTGTTTAACTATTCCAATTAGCAAATTCTTAATTCTGTTAATATATAAAATTATATAAAGCTTAATTATAAATAAATAATAAAATGACATTTTTTGTATATTTAAAATTAATTAATATTTTATTTAAATTTTATACTAAAAGACACTTTTTTCATATTCAGGTTATAACAATAAAATTTAGTTATAAGTAAATCAAATAATAGTGACATATCTCAAACAATTGTATTGTCAGATATTATTTGTGAAAATATAAAATAAATATTCTTTCTGCATATTCAAAATTCAATCAGTTTAATATTTCATTTAAAGATGCGTTATATAAAGAAATTGTTTTTCATTGCTATGATAAATAATCTTTAATCATAAATAAATCAAATATTGATATTTTAATTGGATCAGTTATGTATTATTTGTGAAATACGAGAAATGTTCTTTTTCTGTAAAATTAATCAATTTAATATTTTATTTAAAGATATAATACTATAAAACGATTTTTATCATTATGACAAGTAACAATTATAATATAAATGTGGAAAATATATATTTTAAGATATTAATTTTATTATTATCTAAATTGGTATCATTAAGAAAACAAAAAATTGAGATAATTATTTAATATCTCATTCGAAATTGTAAACAATATGAAAAGATAATGGATTTATAATTACTATAGCAAATATTATGACTGTTTTGAAATGTCATTAATTTGATCAAAATATATGATTAAAATGAATGTAGTATATATGATTAAACAGTATGTAAGATATTTTTACAGTTATATATTATATACCTTTCCTTTCTCACAAAAACGTGGTCATTTGGCATCGTTTATGCATAAACAATTTTCTTTTATCCACATTTAAATCATTAAAATTGACATTAAAATTTACCCATAATCATCTTATGCCAGTCACAAATAATTTTACTTACTCAATATTGCAATATCCATGAATCAGAATGTATTGACATTTTTTATAACTATTATGTCTACATGTTTTTCCAAAATGTATTAATGTTCTTTTCATATTTCTTCCCAGAACGAATCATTTTTTTATGTCATCGACATGTTTTTTCTGAATTGTTTTGTCGTTAATTTTCTTTTGCAGTTCATTTGCTGCTCTCGTTAAATGGGGTAGATTAAGCCTACGAACCTGACCTATGAGACTTAACGCATTGTGATATAAATAATTAACATCAGATTTCCTTTGCGCTTTTGCAAGCTTTTTTGCAAGCTTTGGTATCGCTGTATTCTGCAAATCTTCAATTTTTAATTGTCGCCTAACTTTTTTTTTCTGTTTTTTCGAAAGATTACTCATATCTATCGTCCTGAGAGATGACATATATAAATCTTGAGGTTTTAATTTTCGCAGTTCTTCCTTCTCCTTTTCCACAAGAAATCTCGTATCCACCGTATTTAAATTCGGTTCGTTCATGAATGAATAATTGATGTCATTGCTTGTTGACAGTTGATTTGCGTTTTCGTTTTCTATTAAAATCGATACCGGTTCAATATAATTCAACGCCTCAATATTTGACGGCACAACAGAATCTTGTATCAGTATTACCTCATTCTCATTGCAATTTACGGTATCACCGACATTATCAATTAATACCTCACTTGTATCCTGCTGAATATTCATCACAGGGAGACTTTCTGGTTCATCCATTTTATTCTTCTGTTCTATTACCTGGGTCTGTGGCAAATTCTTCGACAGCCCTTCAGCGTGTGCCTTAAAGCGATTCAGCGTTTGGAACAACCCAATAGGTGTGTGAGGTACAAATAAACGATTGTAAAGCAGAGTGAACTTCAGATAAGAGGCATTGTCGAGTCTCGTAATCTTGTGATCCCATCTCTTAACATCGAGTCGCTTCATCTCCTCTTGAAACTCGATCACGTCAGCATTCGGTACAGGCTCAGTATTGACAATCATAAGGAGCCTGAGTTGTATACGCCACAACGTCTTACGCAAGCTTATATAAGAGCTTTTGCACAGTCCGACATTGTACCGGACCTGTACCAATTTGATTTTCAAGTCTTTTACTGTATTGTAGAGCCATTGTGGGTCATTTTGCTGGTTGCTTCTTATATGTTCAGTGTAATTTGTAAAGCTCATTTTTGTCAACTGTGGTAGCCTCGAATTCAGACAGTTAAACATCTTTGTAGGACTCATGGGCAGGGTCACGTCTATCCCATTATACTTCTCGTTGTCTGGCAGATTGATCCAGTGGAGCAGCAAGTTGTAGATCAGCTCTGCATAGTCCTTAATCGCAATCACCTGTATCACTATGGCTGAATTTTTCTTTTTCGGCCTATTTATAGTGCCTATTTTCACTTCGAATTCTATCGCCTTCTTACTCAGCGTCTTAAGAAATCTGGGCTCAATTCTGGAGTTTGGTAAAGTGTATGCCACAGCTTTCTTTCCATCGGCTGACAAATCCTTCTTCATTAATGCAAAGTCTCTCGTGATTATCCACCCGTTCTTGTGATTTTTGTTATGAAATTTACCAAAGGTATATATCACCTTGTCGAAATTAATCTCGTTCGGTATGAGCATCTTCTGTTCCTCCTCAAACTGAGGCAACTTATTTGCCGTAGAAGAAGCTTCCGAGTCTCCTTTTACTTCTAAATTGGACAGAGTTTCCTCCATCGGCGTCTCATTGGTTCCTTCATAATACTCCTTCACAGGTTGCTGAATAATTTTCGAGCTAGATGTCGCGTCGAACGATTTAATTTCCTCTTCGTAGAGATCCTCGGCGAAATTAATCGGGTACATAGGCCCGTTCGTGTAATTCGTGACCGCGGCGGGGGTCTGGTAGTGCTGGGACCAGCGATATTCCCTGCACGTGGAGGACTCGTGGCCGCGCTTGGTGCAATTGCAGCAGTGCAACGAGCCCGGTGGCTTTATCGCGTCACCCGGATTCTGCGGCAGGCTGGTCTGACTGGTGGTCTGATGGTACCGTCGCCAGAGATCCGGACACTGGGTGTGCTCGTGTCCTACCGAATGACACATGGTACAGTACAGGACACGACAGTGCTCGCAAGTCTTACGAAACGTGTTCTGTTGCTTACCGCATGTGAGGCAGAGTTTCTGCGGGCAGCGGAACACTACGTGGCCCTGCTTGCCGCATATGTAGCAGCAGGGCGTTTTACGCGACACCGGACAGTCGTAGTGTTGGTGACCGTCTCGGTGGCAAATGCTGCACTTGACGTTGAAGAATCGGTTGCGTTGCTTCATGGACGGGGACGGCATTAGGTCCTCGTCCAGGATCCTCCACAGTCGCGGATCCCGCGACATGCCCCGCTGCAGCTCGTCAACGTTGAAATTCTCCTGGCCGCGGGACGAGTCGTAGTGGACCTGCCTCAGCGCGGTCGACATCGTTTGGAAGTGCTCGTGTCTCTTGTCCTGTTCGCTGTTGTCGCTCTGTTGCGTAAGAGTTTGGTTGTTTGGTTGAACGACGCATTGTCGTTTTTGTTTAGGGTCCTCGGTTCTATTGTCGAATTGTCTCTTTCGCTCTGTCGTTGTGTCGCGATTACTGCAAGACGTCTCTTTATCTGTTAGGTTTTTGTTTTCGTTCCTTAAGTTGTATCTGGTCTGTTGCCGTTTTGTGTCTGAAAATACTGGATTTACAAATGTCTCTTGTTGAAAATTTGTGTTAGTTTCCTTAGATTTAGTTTGAGGTAGTTGCTGCGTAGAATTTTTATTTGTGTCTCTGGTTGATGTATTTGGCTTTGGATTTTTATTCAACTCCGCACTTCTGGCCAACTGTTTTATTTCTTGTATACTTTTTGCACCCTTCTGAACTATTGTACAATGTAAAACGATATCTTCTCCGATTTCTGGTGCACATGTATTTTTGGATTTTGTTGTATTCTTATTATGTAAAGATTTATCGGGACTCTTATTTTTAGGGGATGTATCTTGATGACTGCTTGATGTCCCTGTAATTTGACTCGTGATTGGAGTAATTTTTTCTGGAATTCGATTATCTATCTTTGAATTTGTATTGTTTTCCTCATCGGAATCCTGCAGATTTATAAGTAGTGGTTTTGGCTTCGGTGGAACTGGTATTTCCCAAATAGATCCTTCAGAGTCAGAGCTGTCAGAAGACTCTTTATCTTTCGTAAATTGTTTGACTAAGGACATCTCTTGTTTCATAGATTTTGAAAGGACATTGTACTTTGAATGTTTCGCTTCATTCAACAAAGCAGTATTTAAGGAACTCCCTTGATGCTTTCTTTTTCCTGGAAACTTTGTGCTTCTATGTTGGCTAGAAGATTTATTCTTCTGGGAAGAAATTTTCTTCCACTCTCTCTTTTCCTCTTTCGACGAAGAACTTTCTGTACTGCTATTAGAATCGTCTTCTTTATCTGTTACAAGATTTATCGCTTCTGACACTTTATCTGCGTTGGTCTGAACTTCAACCAATGGAGGACGATCAAGTGAATTCTCTGTATCTAATGTATCATCATACATCAATGAATCTATGATGGAAGTCACATTTGACAATTGAGCGTTTTGATTACAATGTTCATTCAATATTTTCTTAATTTTATTATTAGATATACCTCTAGCAGCTTCAGGTTCTGATAGCTGCTTGTCTTCAGGTTTTTTTCTCCGCATACTTTCAGAAGTTAGCTCGGCAATGCTATCAAACTGAATCGTTTTTGAAGAATCCAGACTTCCTGAACCATCCCCAACATTCGATCCATAATAGATTTCCGCGTATAATCGGGATTGCAAGTCGCTGTCATCGAAGTTGTCGGTTTTGTAATCTACACATAATAATTGTAATCGTAAAGTCAAATATAATAATAATAATACAAAGATGCGACAAAAAATTCCAATAAATGTGAACAATCTTTGTAATTAGATCTTTGTAAATATGTAATTTTTTGTTGCTTATTTCCCTTTGAATAAATTATTTTTTTCAAAGATACTGACATTGTTTATTAAGGAAATATAATTACCATTGTTAGTATATCAGCATCGTAAAAATCAGATATAATAATAATACAAAAGTATCAACAAATGCGAACGATCTTTGTAATTAAATCTTTGTAAATATGTAATCTTTTTCAATTTTATCATGTAATTTTTTTGTTGGTTATATTTACCTCTGAATAAGTTATTCTCTTCAAAGATATTTTCTGACATTGTTTATAAAGATTTTTGAGATAAATAAAGATGTACGAAAGAATTTTGTAATTCATCTAAATGATATAGCCAAATGTGGCAAAATAAAAATTTTATAACAAATTATATGTTACATATTACGTTACATGTGCCAGCAATAGTAGTTTCAATAGCAAAGGATCATAAATGGGGGCTAAAAAAATTCCCTAGAAAGCACATTCTTTTGTCCTAACCATAGAATTTACATTATAAAGATAGAGATCCTCTAGATAGAAATTCATCATTGAATGGGTCATTGAATAGGTTGTTTCTGATTGACTGCTGCTGCTGCAAAAAAGAGAAAGTTAATAACTAGAGATAGCTTTCGAAATCCTTGAAATTGTTTAAAACATTTAATTTTCATTTTTATAAAATAATTATAAGTTTTAACTAAAAAATTTCTTTTTATTTTAATGCAGAAATAAAGATATATAATGCTTACCTATATCTAATCTAATGTACATATATATATTATGTACCTTTTTATTTTTTGTCTAGATTCTTAAATTACGATTTTTTCTATATATTTATTATTTTATTCTTAATTAATTTATTTATTTATCATTATATAGAGATTTTATTTATACATTTTATCTCATCTTTATATTATATATATTATAATACGTTCTTCTTGTAGAAATATTGATATTAATATTGTGATATATTTATTATTGTTATATATTTTATAATATTTATATTTATTATTACATATATATATATTTTTTTTTATTTGACATTAGATTGTTGATTTATAAAGGCAAAATGTGTTTTTGTTAAAGGTTTTCTTCCAGTATTTGGACCACCTATGACTATTAATTATATGCAAGAATTTGAGAACATTGATAGAATAAATTATTCCTTTGATCAGTTCAGAGCGCAATGGGAGCAATGCAATTATGTTCCTGTAAATCATGAATTGTTCATACAACATCCAATTATGCCAATGACACCACAAAATACAATAAATATGGGGATTGAATTTCAAAAATTGGAAACTGAAGTTTCAAAATTTAATGGACTGAATAGTAATTGCAATATCAGTGAACCAATAGTTCAAAATATTCACATGGAGCACAATTATTCTTTTGTAAATCATACACCATATGTACCACACTTTCCAAAAACCAGACCACAAAATATAAATGTCAACAATGAATCTCAGAGTTCAAAACTAAGTAAAATTTTAAAAATTGATGGATCCAATCGTAATCATGATATCAGTAGTAAATCGATGGTTCAAATGGAGCATAATAATTTCTCTGTAAATCATTCACAGCATACATCATCACACTGTCCAATTACACAACCACATTACAAAATACAATAAATGCTGAAATAAATAAATCTCAGAATTCGGAAGTTATTAAAGTTTCAAAAGTTAATAAAACCGATAATGATCTTGACAGAAATAAAATGATGCATAATGATCCTTTTGTAAATCATTCACAGCATACATCATCACACTGTCCAATTACACAAACCACATTACAAAATACAATAAATGCTGAAATAAATAAATCTCAGAATTTGGAAGTTATTAAAGTTTCAAAAGTTAATAAAACTGATAATGATCTTGATAGAAATAAAATGATGCATAATGATCCTTTTGTAAATCATTCACAGCATACATCATCACACTGTCCAATTACACAAACCAGATTACAAAATACAATAAGTGCTGAAATAAATAAATCTCAGAATTTGGAAGTTTCAAAAGTTGATAAAATCAATGATGATCTTGATAGCAATAAAAAGCATAATGATCCTTCTGTAAATCATTCACTGTACAATAAATCACACTTATTTATAAATGTTAAAATGAATGATCCTCAAAATTCGAATAAAAAGACTAAAGTTCATGTAGAAGTTAATGAATCTGATAGCAGACTTGATAAGAATAATTTGACGATTGAAATGAATCATAATGATGATCCATCTGTAAAGCGTGAACCATTCACACGTCATCCAATTACACAAATTGAATCACAAAGTACAAATGCTGAAATAAATAAATCTCAGAATTCGAAAATAAGTAAAGTTTCAGAAATTGACGTATTCGATTGCGATCTTGATATCGATGAACTGATAAAGATGGAAATGATGAAGTTTAATATGGTAAATCATGAACCGTTCATATCATGTAGTCATTCAATTACACGAATTGAACCAAAAGGTGCAATAAGTGATGAAATAAATAAATCTCAGAATTTGGAAATTAGTGGAGTTTCAGAAACTGATAGATCCGATAGCAATCTTGATATCAGTAAATTGAAGGTTCAAGTAAAGTATAATCTTTCTGTAAATAGTCCACCATTCATACCGCGTATTCCAAAGACACCAATTGGATTACATCTTGCTACCAGTAAATCGATGGTTCAAGCGAAGGACACAGAATCTCCATTTAAAAAAAATAAAATGCAAGGTAAGGTAAAAATTAAGGAAGTTTATTTATTGTTAGTCTTACTATATAAAATAAGATATTTAAAAATAAATTCAAAATCTTTCGACGTCCAACAAGTAATAAATATAATATCTCGTCTATGTGTAAACGGATTTATTGTACTAATAAAGAAAGAGAGGAAGATATTTTTTACTTAATTTTTATTTTTCTAAAAATATATTACTGTATTTAAATATTATTTTTAAATATCTTTAAATATTTCCTAATAGCGCACCATATATCCAAAAGGCATTTTGAGGATATCCGAAAATATCCAGAAGACATTCGAACATCCTTAGGATGTTCTCTGAACGTCTTTGGGATATGTGTGCTGTTAGGGTTATTTCTTATATTATTTTTAATTTTATTAAAAATGTATTATTTTTTGCACATTTAAAAGATTATATGTTTCAAATATTATACGATTTTCTAAAATATTTCAAATTCAAAGAAATATATATAATATAATTTTCGAAAAATAATAAAAGTTTAATGATATAGTGTATTTGTCCATCATAATTTTATATCTCTACATAAAATAACTATGATTCGCTGTTTTTTTCCAGTGCTTTGGATATTAACATTAGAAAATTTCTCTTATTAATAATACATAATAATATATATAATCTATCAAAATTTTTCGAATTTTATTTAAAAATGTTTTAAATTATATCATATATATATATATATATATATATATATATAAATAATTTAATCATAATAATTTAAATTTATCATAATATTTATTATAATATATACATATTGCAATATTGTGATAAATTCACGTTGTATTGTACTTCGATTCGATACTTCGATTCTTGAAGTATCGAATTTCGATTCGCAATTAGTAATGAACGTGGCGCGACGACTCAGAGAAGTCGCATTCGAATCGCTCCGTATTTCTTGCTTTAGTTGCGGTTTAATAGTGAATCTCGCGCGCGAATAATTATCGCAAGTGTATTTCTTAACGTGGTAGAAATCATTTTTCAAATAGTGGCACCTCTCGCAATCGTCATTACTGTGATTTTCGTATCGCTCTTTCGCAGGTTCGGAATTGATCGAATATCGCGTTATATCCTTTCTCCTTCGAAGTGCAAGAAAAGTGCACAAAAGTGCGACGGGTGCAAGCCGATCGCCAGGTATAGACAATTATTTATTAGCAGGGTTATTAATGATTTTTTAAACTAAGTTAAGTTAAAGTTAGGTCAAGAATAACATTTTTAAATTAATTAAAATATTAACTTTTTTTAAAATTTTTAACTATAATTAATTAATTATTACCCAACCTTGTATTTTAGTCTTCCCTCATTCCAGGTAGAACATAACTCATATAATGACGTCATCATTATTATATTTATTTCATGTTATGTATTTTTTTTAATTTTATGTCATATGTTATTTGTTATAAAAAAAAAGAAAAGTATTTATTTTAAGTAATTCGCTCGGAAATTTGAGTCGCTCGAACGAGAAGCGGCAGGGCGCCAACTCCTTTTCGCGTCAAGTTGGCGACCCTCGCGCGAATCGTTCCTCGGCGACGTCGGCTGCTTCGGCCAATCAGGCGGTTCCGTTTGGCGCACGATCGGTGCAGTTGATAAATGGAGGATTCGTGTTTGTCAAGGTAGTTTTGTTTACGCGAAAATTTTCACTCGGTAACAACTCCTCGCGCGTCCCGTTTGTGCTGAAGAGGTAGATGAAGGTACGTAATGACATTTTCCGCCCGAGCTGTCACTTTCGGCGCGCGCGCTCGCCTCTCCGGCCGCGAAAATCGCGCGAACGCGTCGACCCGTCGTCGCGGGCGAACGAACCCACTCGGCAGGACGAGTCGGTTGACGCGAAACAAATTCGCCGTCGTCCGGCGAAATTCGCGGCCCGAGCCGTTTCCTCGCGTTTCGCGCCAAAATCGCCGAATTTTCGCCGGCTCCGAGCGATCAGGATCGCGAAAACTCCCTCTCGCCCTCATAGGTTATGGGCTTGCACCTGGTGTATTTTCAGTAGGGAACGAGCGAATTTGTCTTATTTAATTTTTTATTTTTATTTTTATTTTTATTTTTCACGTGCTTGCGAATTTCGTAGACGTTCCTGTAATTTATACAGGATAGATTCCATGTACGCTGTTATATTTTCTGTTGTTTCTTTCATTGCGATCACTCAAGTACAGAGTTGAAGATTGTTTTAGTAATTGACTTGTTAACAGTGTTAAGCTTCAGTCAGCGATTGTATTGTACATCTGACATATGTACGTTTTTTCCTTTTCTCATTTTCTTGAATGCTGTGCATACATTTGAATAATTGCTCAAGAAATATTTATTGTTTGTCAACTCTTTTAGTCTCAGCCGATGAGGCATGTAAAACAGTGATTTATTATGATTTATTATGATTATTATAATTAATTATATTTGTATCATTTTGATATTTATGTGCAAGAGATAAAATGACTAGTTAGATAGATTGATTTTATATAACAGTATACTGATCCTATATATTTAAATTTGTCAAAAGTTTGTGAACGCAAAGTATTATTATTTTAACACTGTTTTGTGCCTTTTCCAGAATATCGTAACATGTCTCGCAATCACAAGGACAAGTATGAGAACTCCAACCCGCGCCGTATGTACACACTCATGTGCTCTGAGGACTATCAATCGGGGAAGAAATCTCATTGGTCGGAGTTGGAGATAACAGGCAGTATAAGAAACCTAAGCCCCAACTTGTGGCAAATGAGTCATCTGACGGCTTTGTATCTGAACGACAATAGTCTGCAGAGAGTGCCACCTGAGATTGGTCGTCTTGCCAATTTGCGCATTCTAGATCTCAGCAGCAATAAGCTGCGCAGCCTGCCTGCTGAACTGGGGGACCTTATCTACCTCAGGTAAGATAAAATAAAGAGAATTAAATTGAGTAAATTGTCCATAAATGTATTTTGTAGATTTTTCTTTATATACAATTTCTTATATTGTTTCAGGGAGTTGTTATTGAACCAAAACTACCTTCGTGTGTTACCGTACGAACTCGGGAAGTTGTTCCAATTACAAGTGCTTGGACTTCAAGGGAATCCACTTAGCAAGGATGTGTTGACGTTGTATGGAAATGGGGAGCCTGCAGGGACGAACAAGCTGCTGACGTACATGCTGGACAACTTAACAGGTAAGTGGAAAGATTTTCTGTTGAGAAGAAAGAATGTTGGAGATATTAGAATGTGTAGCTCTCAAAAACAATTTTCCTATTTTCTGCCAGGGAATCAATACATTTTCTTATTGATAATGAAATTTGCAAGAGTAACATGATGAAATAATTAAAAATTCACATGGAAAACTCTCATTTCATAGAGAACCAAAACTATTTTGTTAATTATTCATAATATAATTTATTCTTGAACAAAATAGTTACATTATTATTGTCTAGATAGACCATGACAAAGGGTAATTGTATATAGCGCCCTAATCAATATTAAATGATGTTTTCTATTTAAATTTGTAATCTTTTTCGAAATGTTTGTCGTGATTGTTATATTGGTACATAAAAGGATAAAAATAATAGAAGTATGTTAATTAAAAATTGTTTATTATACTTTATATGTATATATAACAATTTTTAAATACATTACAAATATATAATGATATAATTATTATTTATTATAATTATTATTTAATTATATTAATTAATTATATATTATAATAAATTATAATTATACACTTTATAGTTTTATATCGTTATAATTACACTATTATAACATTACATATATATATATATGTTATTTTATTAATTAAATTATTATAATATATTATTATGATATACATATATTTAATGTATATAATATATAATATAATCATAAAATACTAGATTAAATGTATTAATGACTTAAGAATTTCTAATAACTCCTTTTCAGTTAGAAAATTAATTCTTACTGATCTCTTCAGAGAAAAATTCCTGACAGTCAAAACTATTAACGAGAAACTGTAGGCTCTTTCACCTTACGATAAATCATTGCAAAATAGAGAACGGACGGAGAGGAGATGTATTGCACGAAAAGACGGCTTCGATGCAACTGGTCCCCGATATTTTGCAATCCGACGAACGTAAATCGCGATACATAACAAAGTGGAGGAGACACCTGTAGGCGATACTCAAGTGACACGAACACAATGGGCACACTTAGGCCAATTATGGCGTAATTGTAGTCACGTTACTTCGGCGAAGTCGTGACGACGATGCCGCGCCGAGAGATTCCTCGTTGATACAATGCGCATAAATTTGTTTCCGGGACTTTTGGCTCCCACACAACACCATGGATTGCCAAATATGTCTATATAAATCATGATCGTATTCGATTTAATGGTTTCCGCGGAAAGTCTGTACAACGATTCGCAAATTCACATGCGACAAATTTGCATGCAATTTCATTCGAAGGATACGTACCTCATTAATCCATTTCCTTCCGCGATTTATTTTTTCTAACGAAAGAAATTGCTATAATAAAATTAGAGTTTATAATAAAATTGCATAACTAATGTTAAACGTTCTTAATTTAAGTTTTTACATTAAGTTTTTACACTTGCACAAATTAGAAGCTACAATATATATGTATTATAAATATATTTACGGAATTTATGCAAATTTGTGTAAAATTTTAAAAAATTATTGATTCTTAAATTAAAAAGAGTCATTAATTATTTGTTGCTTTTATAATTGCCTCTTCAGGCTTAATATAATTCTGTGTTTGCAGTATAAAAAGATTTTCTGTCCAAAATATATTAATTTTGATACATTTTATAATATATTTATTTTTAATAATATATTTAAATGATAATTAAATGATAATTAAGAAATTTTATAAATAAGAGTTATAGTAAAAGAAAGAAGATATCTAAAATATATCTATATATTATATTATGAGTTTCAATATATTTAATATAAGATTATACGTATTTAATTATTTAATTATTTTTTTCGATGCAAATATTCGCAATACTGAATTTTTGTACAGCTTTCCCGCAAATATTTTTCCACTTATACCTTTTCGCTTCTCTAATATACATTTTCTCATTTCATAGAGAAGAGAATAACATCAGGATATTTTTGTCCTTAAAAAAGGAAACACTCGACGAGGTGACGTGTACAAGACACATTCGACGTACTCTCCGGTAAAAATATAGATATGCTTTCCGCGTGATTTGAGATAAGAGGGTGACTCCGAAAGAGGGAAGAGAGGACGCGTTCGAAGAGATGAGGAAAAGAGAAAGAGGAGGACTTGAAAAGGATGATGAGCGGAAACATCCCGCTGATGCCCGCGACGCGACGGAGAGAAGCCGCGAAGGGGAAATGACGTGCAGAGTGCGGTGTGTTGTGGTATATCGAATAGTAAAAGTCCCGAGGAGAACAATGGATGAAACGGAATGGTACAGCCGAGACCTTTCAGGCGATCGGATAACTGCTAAAAATGCGCGCAACACAATAGATAGGAGCACGCCCTGCGACGGGAATCTCCTCTTTCTCTCTCTTTCTTCGACTGCAATTTGTTCTCCATGAACGTTCGTTCTCTATCGAGCGTAAATCCAAGAACCTCTGATCAGCCTACCCACTCATTCTACCCCTAAACACACCCATCCACCTGAGAAAGATTAACAAAGATCAAGCGGAATTATGTCTATCTGTTAATAATATTAGGTTTTTAAGGCACAGCAATTAAAAGAAATTTTTTATAAAAGCCTCCTTGATTTAAATATTTATAAGAGAAATTGCTGATTTTTTTGTCTCTTATTTCTCTAGAAAAAAATTAAAATTTTGTAGGAATATATGAGATATGAATGATATCATAGTACATAATAGATTACATTGAATGTCATGTAGATAAAATAAATAATTATTCTTTTACGCTGCAGGTTTAGAGTGCAAACAGAAATATATACACGAAAAATTTGTGTTTAATGGATATCACATGTTCCAAACGGTTCACAGAAATTTTTGTGTTAATTTAACATAATATGGACACGTCAAATGGAGATATAAATATTGTGTTAATATTTTAACACAAAGTAAATGCAAAACTTCAAATAATTTAAAATAAGTTTTGTGTAAAATTTACATAGTTTTTAATGTAAAAATTAACTAAAAATATGTTAATTTTAGATTTTATCATTTCTACTTATATTATAAAATAGAAAATCAACATTTTTTTCTGTAAATTTTAACAGATAATTCTTGTCACTAATAAAGCAGAACGTATTGTATAAAATTAAAAATAAATGCACATTTTGTGTTATTTTTACATCTTTTTTCAATTGTTTTAATAATTTAACATTTAAGTTTAATTAACACAATGTTAAATTAACACATGAATGTATTAAATATTTAACACAAAAATTTTAATGGAGACCGTTTTTAACAAGAAAATCTGTTAATAATATTAGGTTTTTTTAAAAGCACAGCAATTAAAAGAAACTCCATAAAAGCCTCTTTGATCTAAATATTTAGAACTGGAATTGCTGTTTTTTTTGCTTCTTATTTCTCTGGTAAAAAAAATTTTAATTTTGTAGGAACACATGACATGAATGATATCATGGTACACAATAGAATACATTGAATGACGTGTAGATAAAATAAATAATTATTCTCTTACGCTGCAGTTTTAAAGTGCAAACAGAAATATATATACATATACATATATATTGTTCTGAGATTCTTTGTTTAGGATTTTTCATAAATAAAATTTTTTATAAGTATCAAAGAATCTCAATGCAGATGGGAATCTACTGTGGTGAGAGAACTTGGAGTTGTTATTAAATTTAATTAAAATTGATTTAAATTATTATTGTATCATGTTTATTAAAATTAAATTATTATAAATTATATATTTATATATAATTTTAATGATATTTATATTATAATTTTAAATTATTTATATATAATTTATGTTATTATTTATATTATTATAGTGTTATTTTGTATTATTTTATATCATTATATATTATATATAAATTATATATTTAAATATGATTTATATATAATTTATATATAATTAAATATAAAATAATAATAATACATTTATATATTTAAAATTATTACATATGCATAAAGTATATTAAACAATTTTTATTAATATACATATTTTCCGTATTTTTTTCAAATCTGCAATATAATAATCATGACGTCTCGTTGTATATACATATACATATATTTACGGCTATATTTGGATGTTTGACAACATCCGTGTAATGAGTATGCTACCTTTTGGGAAGGAAACCAGGTCTCGCGTCAGCGGGCCGAGTGAAAGGGGTCTCGGGGCCCGAAAAAAGAGAAAAAAGTTCTTATCCGCGATTCACTCCGTCGCGTGCGTGCGGTGGCCCACTGAGCCATCTCATCCGTGTAATTACAGGAGGGGCCCGCTCCGGGACTCCTCCGTGTAATTGAGGACGAAACCGAGGGGAGAAAGTGAACCGTCGTCGCTCTTCGCGCATATACACCGACGCGGCATGATTCATGCGTTATTCGGCGCACACGCATCTGCGTTCACGCACGCAAGAAAAGACGGGCCCGGTAACTAGGGCATGACGAGGATGGCACCTGTCGCGATTGCACAAATCTTTTTCGCCGGCGCATCGCTCGCGCGTCGATTTTTTAATTGTTTTTTAATTATTTCTAGCGATTTTTTACACACTTGAAAAATTACTGTTAATTTTAACACAGATATTTTTATGGCAATTTAACAGTGTTAAATGGAGACACAAATATTGTGTTAATATTTTAACAGAAAATAAATGCAAAACTTCAGGTAATTTAAAATAAATTTTGTGTAAAATTAACATAGTTTTAATGTAAAAATATGTTAATTATAGATTTTATTATCTCCACTTATAAAATAAAAATTTTCCTACTGTGTATCTATTTGAACTATTATATTGTTTCGGATATAAGAAAATCTATATAATTATTTTAATGTTATTATAATAAGCTGCGCATTAGAAGATATATTCACAGAGAGAATTTTTTGTTATATTTTATCGTAAAATTTGCTACTATCACGTTTGGTAATAAGCCGAAAATTTATTATGCTGCATATTAAAATTATTATGATCGATTAAGTTGGATTGAAAAAATATTATGCTGCATTGTAAAATTTATATAAAATATTTTATATATATCACTTT